TCTATTCTATTCTATTCTATTCTATTCTATTCTATTCTATTCTATTCTATTCTATTCGCTGATACAAAATGCAACCTACCCACATGTATTGTATTGGCAGAGAATTTTGGCAATGTTTTGTAGACACATTTGGGTTTTTTTTTTCCTTTCCTCCCCAGATTATTGTAATGGCCTGTCGGGAATTTGAAATGGGAAGGGTATGTATGAATCCCATTCGTTTCCTTGCCAAATTTGCTACGGGTGAGAATGAAATTAAAACTCAATGAAATGGTTTTATATTTACTTAGTGACAAAAAAAATCCCTAGAGAAGACCACAATTAGTTTATTAACTTCATTTACTGGTGTCTCAAGAGTCTGTTTTAAATCAAATAGCATTGAGTATTTTATTGTGCCGCGTAAATCAACCAGTTTATAAACATTTGTAAGGCTGAATTTTCAGACGCCAAGGCCAATCCTAACACTGCTCTGAAATTTCAAGTTTCAGAAACATTTAAATGTGAATAAACCAATAAAGTAGACTGTGAACTAAAAAGATTAGGAGGGTTTTATCCAGTGAAAGTCTAAAATGTATGCGTTTCAGAGTGTGTGTATATTTTTAAAAAACTCTTCATTCTGTTATCAGAAAAAATGTGAACGCTACTGGCCGCTGTATGGAGAAGAAAGCATCTCATTTGGACCATTCCACATTTCTTGCGTAAGTGTTTTTATGATCGGTTGCCTTTTAATGAAGTTGTAATTTGTGCTTAATGTGCACAGTTGTGTGAATATTGAACACATAAACCTGTTTTGCATTCTTCTGCAGTTACATGAATTAGTCACTCGTGGCTCTGAAGTGCTTTTACTTTGAATAGATTAATGAGAAACAAAAGCAGGGCTTTTTTAAGACTTGGTGATGCTACATCAATACCTTGTTCAGACAATAGATTAGAATAAAAATGTGTGATTAATAATGGAGCATTTTCCCTCAAAATTATACTTCAAAATAAATTGTATCTTAACCTTATTCAGATTATAGTTCAACAAGAAATCATGCTATGGGTATCTCTTGACATTTCCCTTCTTGTCAATTTTGATGCAATTAGATGATTGGCAGATCTTCCTTCTTCCCTCCCTCCCTTTCTGCCACAGTTTGATGTTTTGCACAAACCTGGATAGACTGGTCAATCTGAGCAAAATTTACTGCTGCTTCCATCAAGCTTTATAAATCATGGTTTGTGGTTGACTTTTTGGCGAGTGTATGTAAGGCTAAGTATAAAATTGGGTGAAATTTTAATCTGTCCTCTCTCTGTTTAGGAAGCTGAACAGGTCAGAGAGGATTACTATATTAGAACCCTGCTGATCGAATATCAGAATGTAAGTAGGTAAAACACTCTTTCCCCAATCAAGCTAAACGTGCTATGATGCTTATTTTGAATTGTTTTGTTTTTGACAGTTTTTGGCACTTTAATAGAACAAAGGAATGGCTCTCAGTTTGTGAGAGTCGGCAGGTAAATTCTGTTTAGCTTAAATTAATGGGAATTTGAGGATTTAGGAATCTTCAGAAGTTGTGAGTACTCCATCACTGGAGGCTTTTAAGAAGAGACTGGACAGCCTTTTGTCTGGAATGGTATAGGATCTCCTGCTTGAGCAGAAGGGATTGGAATAGGTGACCTCCAAGGTCCCCTCCAACCCTGTTATTCTGATGGTCTCAGACCCCTGACAAAAGATAAAATGTTCCTTTTTGTTCTTTGTTACCTGTTAGGGTTTTTTTTTCTTTTTCATTTTTATAAACAGTTGTGCTTTTAGCTGGGCAGTGTCCCCTTTTCAGCTAAAGGAAGTCCGAGAATAGGGCAGCGTGCTATTTGACTTATTTATGTCCGATAGTTTGGAAGGACTAATGTGAAACATCCTATTTTTCATTCGAAACAAGGCAGGAAGAGTCTGAGCAAACTGTTTTTAGCTAAAGAAAGGCTTAATGACTAGCAGTAATAGCCTGGGGGCAAAAAGCCAGTGTTAGTCACTGGTCTAATAATAAGAATGAAAAGCCCTAGTCAACAGCAATGGGGAGATGGTTCTTGATCCCACAAGGGTGATGGAAACAGAACTTCCAAATCACGCAGAAGGTTCACATCAGCCATCTGGATCCTTTTGGGGATCTTGGCTTTCAGACGATATGCCTTCCGTTACTTATTTTTTTGCATTTAAGGGGTCTTTGTTGCCATGTGAGGCCACCCGATGCCTTTCCCAACTGGATTTCCCTTTGTCTCAGGTGATCAGCTCTAAAATACCTTGGAATCCGGACTAAGCTTGCTGTGGGTTTTGCAAATAGGATTTAGATTGTGTGTGGGTGTGTCCAACCTTGGCCAACTTTTAAGACCTGTGGACTTTAATTCTCAGAATTCCTCAGCCAGCATGAATTCTGGGAGTTGCAGTCCACAGGTCTTAAAGCGGCCCTTGATTTTAGATTTTTGATCTTGCAGCTTTCCAGTGCATTAAAATCTAAAAGTCTATAGAAGTTGAACATTAAACCTTGTACTTTTACCAAACCCAAGGTTATTTTTCCCCCCAAGTGCAATTCTTTATTTTCTTTTAAGTTTTAATTGATTTTCTATTAAATAACATTTCTTAGTGCTTAATCGAGGGTCTTCAAACTTGGCAAGTTTAAGACTGGTGGACTTCAACTCCCAGAATTCCTCCTCCAGTCATGTTAGCTCAGGAATTCTGGGAGTTAAAGTCCACAAGTCTTAAAGCTGTCAAGTTTGAAGACCCCTGTGCTTAATAAACATCGTGTTGTCTGGGTATTTAATTTAATACAAATTTGCATGCTTAATCTCCACCCCTTTTTTCCAACCATTGGTAAAATAAATTCCATATTTGATTATATTCTACATCTCCTTTCTGTTTAATTTTCAATGTAATAATTTATCCATTTCTGCACAATCTAGTATCTTCCTGACTTTTTCTTCATCTGGTGGTATATCTTCATTTTTAATTTATTTTGATAGACTATTGCATAGTAGTATCCCAAATAAATAAAGGTGTATAAGTTGGAAAGTTGGATTGCTTTAGGTTCTGCCTTTTCTCCCATTATTGTAAAACTCAATAGGTCTTCCAAATAGACCAGTCTTAGCAATTCACACAAAGATATATTTATATGAGTTCCTTTAGTGTGGTACAGTTGCTCATCACTAATGAGAAATGTGAGAAAAAGCACATTCTCATAAGGAACAGTTTTATAAATAATGCAACATCCTTCTTATCGTTTTAGGAATCGCGTCGAGTACATCAGTTTCATTATGTAAATTGGCCTGATCATGATGTTCCTTCATCCTTTGATTCTATTCTGGACATGATCAGTTTAATGAGAGAATATCAGGAACACGAAGAGGTTCCTATCTGTATACACTGCAGGTATGTTGTTTTTTTAATCAGGATTATTTCAGGAGTTCAGTGAGTCACAATTGGAGATATTTGAGTAGTTTTTCTTCTTGTTTATAATGTGGGAAGAGCATTTTCTGCTCCTTTTAATATTTTTAAAGTGTGATACACTGAAAAAAATTAAGTTCTACATATAAATCAAAGGAATATAAATTAAGTTTTACTAGCTGGGTGCCTTGGAAGGCCACAAAATTAGAAACATTTTTGGCAATTGATTTGTTGGACAGTTCGTATGTATTTTCTACCCTATTTTATCCTTTGATAGTAATTACTTTATAAGAGTAATTGATAGTAATTACTTGATAAGGCGAGACGAGTGGCTAGAAGAGAAAGGGTGCCTTTATATAATTTGTGTGTGTGTGCCAGTTGAATGGTTCTTTTATATGTTTCCAGTTACTTTAAAAGCCATTTTTAAAAATGCGTATTTGTTTGGCTTGCAGCTTGTTTCAATTGTGAAAGGCTTAAGTGGCATTCTTCCCAACCGTATTAAATAAATTGAGCTAAAAACAATACAGTATAAATTAAGAAATAGTCACATAATACAGCAGGGTTGTCAAACTGGATTTTTTGGAGGGCCAGATCAGCATTGTAGTTGTCCTTCGTGGGCCGGCCGGGGGGAGGGATGGAGAGACGGGCTGGCTGGCCTCCTGCAGCATCATGCCGGCCAAAACGGGGCGCGGTGGGGCTAGGGGCAGCCCTACCCATTTTCACTAGCGAGGCACCGCGGGCCGGTCCTTTGCTATTTCCAGGCCAGTCCTATGACCCAGATGCAGCCCACAAGTCTTTAAGTTTGACACCCCTTTAATACAGGGTAGTATAGACTTAGAAGAATCACCAAACCTCAGTATGAGCCAATTTGGCCTGGTGGTTAAGACACCAGGCTAGAGACCAGGGAACAATGAGTTTGATTCCTGCCTTAGGCATGAAAATGGCTTGGGTGACTTTGGGCCAGTCACCAGGAGACAGTGAGTTCTAGTCCTGTTGTGGTTTGCCGGGAAGCCTGTGCAGACAGCAGTGGAATCGGGACAGTGGGGAAGAACGGGGACCAGTCCAGGAGTCTGGACAGGACTTGGACGAGGGTCCTACATCCGATGCAGAAATGGGGCCAGGACCATCTGGGAATGGGGTGCTGACTCTGGAGCCTCTGGAGTCTGGCAGCAGCGAGGCAGAGGACCCAGGGGAGCCTGTTCTCATGCGTATATGCACAGAGCTGCTAGAAGGCAAGAGCAGCTGAGACAAAAGGGGCGACTCGGGAGTAAGGCTTGGAGGTGATTGCCCCTCCCCTAAGGTATAAAGGAGGTGCAAAGGTTGAAAAATCTTTGCAGGAAGCAAAGTTGTTACTTGATACTTCGGTTGGATTTTTTACAGTTCATTTGGCACTCTAGTTGTTGGCAGCCATTCAAAGGAGAGAAAGGTGGGTGCTTATCTCGAGGGACTGTTTGGGACTCATTACGGGCTGGGAATGCACATAATTCCCAGTGTTGAAATAACACAAGAGTTGTTTTAACTAAGCGTTGCTTAATTACAGTCTCCGGAAGCCTTGGTCAGAACAAATTCCACCTCTGGCACGCTGGAGACTTTGAGAGAGACCAGTCGCTCTCTCTCAGCCCAACCCACCTCACAAGGTTGTTGTTGTCGGGGAAATCGAAGGAGGAAGGAGGAATGTTGGATATGTTGTCTACCTTCAGTTATTTGTAAAAGTAAGAAAGGCGGCATAGAAATAAATAATTTTTTAAAAAAAGACAGAGGGTCCAAGGTCATCACATTCCAACTCCCAAAGAGTTGATGGAGGGCAAGTATTCCTCGACTTATAACTGTTGATTTAGTGACTTGTGGCCATTTTTCTACACTTAGGACTGTTAGCAGTGATGTACATTCGGGTGTTTGACAACTGTCTCTGTGTCCCCCCCCCCCCCCCCCCCCCCGTTTTTTAAAATTTAATTATATGAATGGTGTAGGCATTCTGGCAATTGTTTACAATTGTTATATATAAATGTCACTTCACCATTTACAGTCCTCTTATTTGATACGTTTATTAATTATTCTGATCATCATAGCTACTTATGTTCCGACCTTGCCTTCTTCTATGCCGCCACTGATAGAATTTATTCCATGCTTCATAGTACTCAGATTCCCCCTTGTTTTTTAATTTCTAGGGTTACCCTATCTGATTTCTGCACAGGCCATAATTTTCCTTATTGTCTGTTTCTGGCGGTATGCTTTCCTTCTTCCAGTATTACGCATATATTATTCTAGCTGCCATCAACACATGTACTATTAGATAAATTAAATCCTTCCTATATCCTTCGGATCCTATTCCTAGGAGAACTTTCTCACTTTTACAACGGGTTGCAGTGTCCTAGGGTCATGGGATTGCCTCCTGACAAGCTCAGCGAGGAAACCAGATTCGTTCTAACAACCGCGATACTAACTGAGCAAGTGCAGCGATTGGCTCAACAACTGGGGCAGGAAATGTCGTAAAATGGGGGCAAAGATTCACGGAACAAATTTCTCCCTGAACTACAGAAATGTTGGGCCATAAGTAGCGGCCATAAGTTGAGGACGACCTTTTGTGTGTGTGAGAAAATACATATTTATACAGATAATCCTCAGCTTACAACGGTTGAGTTTAGGGACCATTCAAAGTTAGAACGGCACTGAGAAAAAGTGACATATGACTGTTTCTCACACTTAGGACCGTTGTGGCATCCCCATGGCCACGCGATCAGCATTCAGATGTTTGGCAACTTAACTCATGGTTATGATGGCCGCATGTCCCAAGTTCCCACATGATTCCCTTTTGTGACCTTCTGACAAGCAAAGTCAACGGGGAAGCCAGATTCACTTAATGACCGGGTTACTGACTTCGATTCACTTAACAGCTGTGACAGAAAAGGTCGTAAAACCAGGCAAAACTCCCTTCACAAATGTCTCACTTAGCAACATCAAATGTTGGGCTCAGTTGCCATATATTGAGGACTACCTGTATAACTGTATATCACAAGCATGGATACACCTATGTTGGTACGTCTTATAGCAGTGACGGCGAACCTTTTTGTTGTGGTGTGCCAAAAGTGCATGTGTGCCAGCACCCACAATACAATGAGCCCTGCCACCCCCATGCATGTGCATGCAACACCCCCGCCCCCTTACTTGCACTGCGCATGCGTGCCTCCCAGCTAATTTTCGGCCCATTTGAGGCCGTTTTCACCTTCCTGGAGGTTCATGGGGAGCCTCTGGAGGCTGAAAATGGGCCTGTTTTGGCACTTCCAGTATTTCCGGAAGGCCCATTTTTCAGCCTCCCGAGGCTGCAGAGGCTTCCCTCGAGCCTCCAGGAGGGCAAAAACAGCCTCAAATGGCCTGAAAATCAACTGGGAGGAGCATACATGCGCGGTGCAGGTGAGTTTTGCTAGGGCTCGCATGCCCACACAAATGGCTCTGTGTGCCACCTGTGCCATGCGTGCCATAGGTTCGCCATCACTGTCTTATAGTTTATTTTAATAGGTTAGAATTCCATATAATAGGAATTCTCTGATAGAAGAATAACGCAATACGCTTACAAAGGGAACATGTGGATTTTTTATTTAAAAAAATCCCATAAAGTGTATGTGTCTCTTTTTTTTCCCTTTTTTTTTTGTTACAGCGCAGGATGTGGAAGAACTGGAGCCATCTGTGCGATAGATTACACATGGAATTTGTTGAAAGCCGGGGTAAGGAGGCTTTAGCGCCATCAACATGCTGGAAAAAAACTAGGCCATCTTATGCAAGTGATTAGTAGCTTTTATAGAAAAGAAGAAAAAGGTCAGTTTTGTTACAGCCAGGGGCAAAACTTGAAAACGGTTTGGAGGAAAAGCAGATGGCTTAGCTGCTGTCGGGGGAAAAAAGGGAAATTCTAATTGTTTGAAGTGTGCATGAGAGAGAGAGGGAGAGAGAAAAGAGAGAGGCAGAGAGAAAAAAGAGGAGAAAGAGATGAGAGAGAGAAGAGAAACAGAGGAGACAGAAGAGAAAGATAGGAGAGAGAAAAGAAAAAAAGAAAAGAGAAAGTGGAAAAGAGAGAGAGAGGCAGAGAGAGAAGAGAGAGACAGGAGACAGAAGAAAAAGACAGGAGAGAGAATAGAGAGAGAAAAGAGAAAGAGGGAAAGAGAGAGAGAGAGAGAGAAAATGAAGCCATTTGTAAATGCTTGATGGAACGTAATATAAGTTATGCTGAAATGTAAGCTTCTTCAGTGGGGAAAACAAAATCTCATGTTCTGTTGCAGAAAATTCCAGAGGAATTCAACGTGTTTAATTTAATACAAGAAATGAGGACCCAAAGGCATTCTGCGGTACAGACTAAGGTAATCTTGTCTTCGGGAGCCTAAATGAACGGTGTGGCAGGATGGTTTTGGGGGGCCAACAGCGTCTTTTCGAACGATCTAAGCTCATCCTTGTCTCTTTATCCTGCGCACATAGGAGCAGTATGAACTGGTTCATCGAGCCATAGCCCAGTTATTTGAGAAACAGTTGCAAAAATACGAGAGCTGTGCGGCGTGGAAAATTGCAGATGGCTTGGTATGTGGCTTGAGTCAGATTTTTCTTTTCTTTTAAAATATTTTGAAACCATATCATTTCCATGAGTTGAGTTACCTTTCCTTTGTTTAGCCTGGTTTGCCTTTCCTAGTGAGCAAGCAGTTTTTGAAATGCTGAGTGCCAGAATAAACTTCCAGCTCCATTGGACCCAGTTAAAGCACAATTTTGAGTCCTGCATAACGTTAACATTAATTTCCTCTTAGATTTTTTTTGACATTTCTCATTAAGATCCTCCGCATGGCTCTTTTGAACTCGGCCTGCAGCAATTGTGTGATGTGATCTTTCTGAGACACCCAAGGTTTTGTTACTGACACAGCCAATGCTAAATAATCATCCAGTTATTTAGATGGGGGCTCTTTGAACACGGAAGCTTTCAGAGTTGTGGACTTCAACTCCCAGAATTCCCCAGCCAGGAATTCTGGGAGTTGAAGTTCACAAGTCTTAAAAATGACCAAATTGGGATACTCCTGATTTAGATCACCCAACCTACTTATCTTACTGCTCTTTGTCTTGAAGGCCTCTTTATGTAATGTATTCATAGAAACTGGCCTGGATACTAAACACAATCTTCAATTTGTACTTTGTTTTTTTGTTTAAATATTTTATTAAACAAATTTATACAAATACAATAAAACCAAACATTCCACTTATCGCAACGTAAGCAAGACAATTGCAAATCCAGAACAAAGTTCAAAACGCACAGATCGGGTATGCTGTAATTGTCAAGGTATGTTCTGGTCTGTCTCTTTTTACTTGTGTTTGCTCCAATTTCTTAGATTCCTTTTATTTCAAAGGCAGTTGTGCAATATCCAATTTCAGTGAGTAACACTAGCAAACCTCAGGCAGACAAAGCATTCATCGCTGCATTGGCAACGATTTGACTTTAAGAGCGACCACATGAACGAGTTCTTAATTTCCTGAATTTCTCTAGTCTGAGACATGAACAGTTGGAATTCCAAGGAAGGCTTGAGTCACAAGATAAACATGTTGATGCCATGCTGAAATTTCCCATGATGTTCTTTAATCCTAGGGAGTTTAAAAAAAAAAAAGAGCAATTTTTCCCGTGGCTGAGACTTTTTTTTTTCTAGAATTCCTCTGTCTCATCCACGCTGCTCCTGCATTGTTAAGTCATTTTTGCTTCTTGGCAGCAGAACAACATAAAACATACATACAGGTGTATATTTTATGTTGTTCCGCTGCCAAGAAGCAGGGTGACTCATGACCTCAGTTGAGGCCAACGTTTTTTGTTTGCTAAATGGGATGGTTGTTTTAAGTGAACCTTGCCCCATTTTGCGAATTTTTTTGGCTACCGTTGTTTAGTGAATCACTGCCATTGTTCACTTAGCAAGACGGTTGTTGAGTGAATCTGGCTTCAATGCAGACTTTGCTGGTCAGAAGTTTGCAAAAGGGGGGATCATGTGACTACGGGGGATAGCACAATGGTCATAAATGTGAAAAACAAGTTACAAGTCACTTTTCCTAGTGCTGTTATAACTTTGAGCAGTTACTAAACAAACAGTTGGAAGTGAAGGACTGCTTTATACTCAGATTTTAGTTTTAGGCTGGCCAGTCTCACCTTGTGTGGTGATGGGCAGCCTAAAACATTAATAAATATAAAATAAAATAAAATAAAATAGTAAAATAAAATGAAATCTTCTATCTATATATAAAAGCGAAATACCACTCATGCATCATCACAAAATCTCCAAAACCGTAAAGCCTACAAACTTGAAATTTAGAACATAGGTTCCTCTTGGCTTCTAGGGGCTCACTAAGAAAGGATTTTTTGAAAGGACCATCAGAGCATTTAGAGTATTTCCTATATTATTATTATTATTATTAACACACACTGATGCTAAGGAGTTCTACTTCCCACCTGAAAAGAAATCGGGTCCAAATGCAAAACACAAGCAGAGGAGAGGAGTTTCAGTTTCAGTTTCACAGCACCAAGCAGCTTTAGTACACAACAGTTGAGCTAAGCCACGCCTAGGCTCCTTGCTGTCTCCTTGCTCACACAGCAAATACTGTTTCAGTTTCCAAACAGCCTTCAGCTCTCTCATGCTGACAGGACGCTAGCCAGATGAATACCGATGGATGCTGGTAGGCAGAGGCAGATTCCCCCCCCCCATTATTTTCCTCCCCCAAAACTAAGCCCAACCACATAGTTTTGTAGCGAAGCATGGGTATCGAGCTAGTACAGAATAAAAACAAAAGAGTAAAGTAAAGTAAAATACAAAATAAAATAAAAAAATAAAACTTCCATAACATTTTGCATTCTGGTTTTGTTTCTAGAACGTTAACTTAATCTCTTGTTTGTGGGGGAGTCAGTTTAAAAGTCTTGAGTAATTAAGTTCCTCCGGCTCTTTATTCCTACGACAGAACGAAGTTAACGCCGAGAACGCCGTCGGTTCTGGAGACCTGGAGGAACAGGGTTCCCCTCCCCCGAAGCCACCTCGAACTCGCAGGTACCTTTTCAAATCAACTCTGGTTCAATCGCTATTGATCAACTCCATGGGGCTTCATTTCGGTTTTCCGTTGCTGCCTAACCGAGGATTCTACTAGATCCCTTGTGCAGCCACAAGTGATTCAGGATTGATCCATTCCCCTCCCGCTCCCCCACCCAGGCTCCATAGAACCTTAGGCAACTCTAGATAGGTTATCCTCAACTTGCGACTGCAGCTCAGCCCAACATTTCTGTTGCTAAGAGAGGCGGTTCTTAAGTGAATTGTGCCCCGTTTTGTGACCTTTTCAGTGCCCCCGTTGTTAAGTGAATCACTCTACTCTCGTTAAGTGAATCATGCTGATTACCCAAATCTGGCTTCCCCCATTTGTATCTTTGGTGGAAGGATACAAATGGAGATCAGGTGACTATCATAAACACATAAAATGCATAAATACATAGTTGCCAAGGGCTTGAATTTTGGTCATGTGACCCATGGGAATGCTGTGATGGTCGTTAAATGTGAAAACGTAACATCATTGGTCACTTTTTCCAGTCTCGTAACTTTGAATGGTCCCTAAATGAACGATTATAACTTGAAGACTACCAGTATAGCAATAGCACTTAGACTTGAATATTGCCCCATGGTGCTGCAGGGGTTAGAATGGAGTGTTGCATTCAAACTTTGCCCACTGTCAGCAGTTTGATTCTGACCGGCTCAAGGTTGACTCAGCCTTCTGTCCTTCCGAGGTGGGTAAAATGAGGACCCAGTGTCAGAATTCCAGCGATCGCCCTAATTAAATCATGGGCCTTCAAAAAGCTTCAAAGAATGCCATATTGGCATGACCTTGATGTAGCCGATCCCGAGACACATAATTCACTGCCACCCTTGACCCTGGTCTCCCCCCACCCCTCTGGGTGTATCATACTTCATATTCTCCAAGAAACCCGTCTGTAGCCAAGAGTCATCAATCATGTTCTCCAATTAGGGATTTGCACGGCGGAAACTCCAGTCGCTTAGTATATAATCTTTGCAAGATACGCATGGAATGCACTTTCAGTTCCAAATTGTTGCACTGCTCCTTCAGACTCCTTTCCTCCCCTCCTTTCTGTTGGCAAGTATAAAACGGGCACAGAAAATGTTTTATGAGTTGACACCCAGATTGTTGGGGGCAAGAGGCTGACTCTGCAAACCGCTCAGAGAGGGCTGTGAAGCATTGTGAAGAGGTATAGGAGTCTAAGCGCTATTCTTCCCTTCCCTTCCCTTCCCTTCCCTTCCCTTCCCCTTCCCCTTCCCCTTCCCTTCCTGTTAGAATTCAGTATTGCAGGCTAAGTCTGCCCTCTGTCAGGAGTTTGATCCTGACTGGCTCAAGGTTGACTCAGCCTTCCATCCTTCCGAGGTGGGTAAAATGAGGACCGATATTGTTGGGGGCAAAAGGCTGACTCTGTAAACCACTTAGAGAGAGGCTGTGAAGCATTGTGAAGCGGTACATAAGTCTAAGTGCTATTGCTATTTATAGCCCTCTCTGAGCATTTACAGCAAGGATCTTCAGACTTGACCGCTTTAAGTCTTATGGATTTCAACTCCCAGAGTTCCTGATCTAACATGACTGGAGGAGGAATTCTGGGAGTTGAAGTCCATAAGACTTAAAGCCGTCAGTTTGAAGACCCCTGGTTTACAGAGTCAGCCTCTTGCCCGCAACAATCTGGATCCTCATTTTATTCACCTCGGAAGGATGGAAGGCCGAGTCAACATTGAACCGGTCAGGATCGAACTGCTGGCAGTCGTCAGAACTAGCCTGCAATACTTCATTCCAACCCACTGTGCCACCACGGCTCTAATCTCTTTCATCTCATCCATGTGTGTGTTCGTGTATCAGAAATACTCATTTACAGTCTTCTCTTATAATTATTCCTAGCTGCCTTGTTGAGGGTGACGTAAAAGAAGAAATCCTGCAGGCCCCTGAGCCTCATCCGGTCCCACCCATTCTAACCCCATCGCCGCCTTCGGCCTACCCAACCGTGACGACGGTTTGGCAAGACAGTGACCGATACCACCCCAAGCCTGTTTTGCACATGGTGTCTTCAGAGCACCCGACAGACCTCAACGAAAATTATGGTAAATCCAGGGACTATTCAGGGAAGCATGAATTCTCAGACCCCGCCGCCGATAGAAAGCTGGAACACAACTTGAGCTTCGAAATTAAGAAAGTGCCCCTTCAGGAACGACCACGCAGCTTCGATGGAAACCCTCTCCTGAGTCGGGGAAATGCACTTAAAATTAAAACATGCCCGCCAGACGCAGCGGAGATGACCTTGAAACCGCAGGAGTGCGGCTCCGGCGATGCGCCTATGGAGCCCGTGCAGAACCCTTGCAATGAGTGCAGTCTGCAGCCAGTCACTCCCATTGCAATATCCTCTCTGGAAGGACATCTGGGTCTTACTACAGATGCTCCGCCACGGCCAGACTGTTTGCCCCTTAATAAAGAGAAGGGCCACGCCATGTGGTCCTTAGAAGAGACTAAAAACAAGCAGCCCTTCTTCGAGGAGGCACCTTTACCCGTTTTATGTCACGAAGTCACAAATCTGTCCGTAGACTCAGGCGTGCCAGGTCAAAGGGACACCCCTCCCAGGGAACCGGCAGGCCGCTGCCACGGTGGCCCGCTGCTGGTTCAGGCCCCTCTGTGTTTCACTAATCCCCTGCACTCGGATGACTCTGACACGGAGGACAGAAACTCTGAGGGGGGCGTGGCCCATAGCACGTCGAATAGCGTCTCCGTGGCCAGCGCCACGGTTTCAGCAGCGACCAATACAGAAAACCCTGCTAGAAAAGTGTTGCCGATGTCCATCGCGAGGCAGGATAATCCGCCCCTAATGCATTCCGAACCTGATAAAGGTAAGTTGTGCTAAATTTTATGGGAATTAGGGAAGGAAACAAAATGAAAGGAGAGCGAATTGTGCACACCAGGAAGTGTGTGTGTGGGGGTGTTCATCGGTGCTCTCTGAGCTTGGTTTTCTTGGAGACGTTTCATTACCCAACTAGGTAACATCATCAGTAGTGGAAGGGAGGGAGCTTTGCAAAGAGGAGAAGAGGAAGAAGAGGAAAGAGGAGGTGGATTGTGGGATCCTTGGTACTGTCTGAGCTTGGTGATTTTCTTGCAGACGTTTCATTACCCAACTAGGTAACATCATCAGTGTTAGAAGGGAGTGGAGTTTGCTCTCTTTTTACACTAGTGGCTTGGCCTTTCCGTGTAGCTTGGGAGTATTTTCATTGATGAGGCTGTTTACTCTTTGTTTTTAATTAGTAGTTCCTTGATTGGGGTATTGTTTACTTCTTGATCATTGGCATAGTGTTAATTTTGGTGTTAATTTCTGCTCATCTGGGTATTGATTGCTGGTGAGGAGGTGTTTTGGTCTGTTCAGTTCCTTTTTGGCTTTTCAAAACAAATCAGCAATCAACAGGCACATAGAAATAAACAACACCTACATGCCATTTGAATAGAGATGCCCACATTAGCCACTAGTATATAAAAAAGAGCAAACCTAATCAATCTGTCACCATATCAGATAACTCACGGCAGTTTATAACAGCAAAAAATAAGTGTACACAACCATGAACTGTGAAATATTTTAAAAATGAAAATTTAAAAATACACCAGGTACAGGTTCTACCAACACAGGTAGTTTGTACTAGTAACAACTCTCTGGAATAGCGCAGCTTTTACTGGTTTGTGGATTGATGTTAATGTCTGTGGGACTGGCTAAGGGGGATTCCTCCATAATGTGGAAAGCACTTTATGTTCCATCCTTCAGGTTTAGGATAATCGCTCCTGCTGGGCGCTGAGCCCATGAGGCAGGATTGTTACCGCAATTCCCCTTCCTTGCCAGTCTTAAAACATGGCTAAATCCTTTGCTGATTTGTTGATTAGCTTGGTTGAAAGCCCATGTTCCTTTGCAATTAAATCATGATAGTTTTAGCTGTGAAGTGGTTATCTTACAAAGTGAGTTAGTAAATTGCACGGTAGCAACTATTACAGTCATTGCTCTAAAGCAGGGGGTCCCCAATCCCCCCAGCCATGGCCCGGTACAGGGCTGTGGCCCATTCGAAACTGGCCCCACAAGTGGTGGGCAAGCGTGCACAAAGCTCCCCTTGTTATGCCCCTTTCACAAATGGAATTGCGCCAATGGTGGGAAGTTACCAGTTTGCACCGGTTCTAGCGATCTGGTTGCTCTGGTCAGCAGTTGGCTCCACCCTTTCCTGTCCTATATTTCCTTTGTTTGTAGCTCAGCTGATAGGCGCGGCAGAGTGGATTGCCGCGCCTCAGCTGTTTTACTCACCAGTGCTGACAGTAAGGTAAGTTTTCATGCTTAAAATTACCCATTTTAGAATGTTCCGTACATGCCCCACAGAACCGGCAGTAAAATATTTTGAATTCCGCCACTGAGCTGCGCGTGTGTGCACAGGCAAAGCCCCCACTGCTCACACGTGAGCCATCTCTCTTCTGCCCCCCCCCCCCCCCCCCCCCAACAGTCCTGTTGCCACTTCACCAAACTGGCAAAGTTGAGGAGCACCGCTGCTCTAAAGTTTATTTCATTGGTACTTGATAGAATCCCTTGCTTCAATATTTAAGCGGTGTGAATAAGGTTTCCTAGCCATTCTGCTCCCTGTCGGTTTTTATTCAACTCAAAACTCAGGTGCAAATGATGATTTTTCTCCCCTCTTGCCAGAAAGAACTCTGGAATTGCTTGTGCTTGCAAGTCCACAGGGTAAGTGTGTTTTTTTCTTTCTTGCACATGGACCAAAATGAGGGGCTGGGGTCAGATACCAATCTGTTGTGTGTGGGGGGGTGGAGGGGGGAAACGACCCTTGCATATTCATTTACAGGCAGTCCTCAGCTTACAACCCCAATGCCGCCCCAGATTGATGTTGTTAAGTGAGTTGGCTCCATTTGACGACTTTCCTTGCCACATTTTGTTAGCGAATCCCCTTAAATTAGTAACACGGTGTTTAAGCGAATTTGGTTTCCCCGCTGACTTGGCTGGTCAGACGGTGCAAAAGAGGAATCAGCGACCCCGGGACACTGCGAGCGTCATAAATGTGAATTGTCAAGCATCCAAATGTAAATCAGGCGGCCCTAGGGTCGTAAATTGGTCATAAAAGTGTCATGAGTCCCTTTTTGCCAGTGCCGTGGTGACTTTGAACGGTCACTAACCAACAGTTGTAAATCGAGGACTGCCTGGGTTTAGGTTGCTGGATGGTTGCTTCTGTTGAGTAGATCACCAGGGGAATGAATCTCTGGAGGCTCCCTCCTGCTTCAGCTGATCGAGCCTTTCCTGCCGCTACTGAGCTGGGAAAAGTTGACTTAGAAGCCAGAGCTCCATGTCTGGTCTCCAGAGCTCCATTTTGTTCTAAAATGCCATTGCTGATGTCTGCTATTGAGGTTATTTTTTGAATCTAGGTTTACCTTTTTTTAACAAATATGTTGTCAGGATTCCAGCAGTTACTCCAATTAAATCATGAGCCTCGAGCCACACTCCCAAAACAAAAAAGGATTTATTTGAAGTTAACATTCTACATCCGGCATTAACCTGGGCGTAGCCAACTCTGAGATACGTAATTCACTGTCACCCTTGATCCTGCTCCCCCCCCCCGGGTGTATCATCCAATGAAACACGTCCATAGCCAAGAGTCATCAATCATGCTCTCCAACTAGATTTTTGCATGGCAGAAGCTTCAGTCATCTAATCAGTCTTTGAAGAAAATATGAATGAAATGTACTTTTGATTCCACACTGCCACCTGGTCTTTGAACCCCCCCCCTTCTTTCTGTTGTCAACTATAAAATGTGTGTACAAAATGTTTTATGAGTTGACATATGTGTTTTTTTAAATTGTTTTAGTCACAGCTTTGCCAAAAAGTCCTGCTCTTCTACAGTCGGCCGAATGGAATTTGTTACAAGATCAGAACACCTCCGAACAACCAAAATGTACAGTAAGTACGGTAACACAGAGAAAGAATAGGAATAAGACACTTATGAGCCGCGGTGGCACAGTGGTTAGAGTGCAGTACTGAAAGCTACTTCTGCTGACTGCCGGCTGCCTGCAATTTGGCAGTTCAAATCCCAACAGGCTCCAGGTTGACTCAGCCTTCTGTCCTTCCGAGGTGGATAAAATGAGGACCCAGATTGTTGGGGGCAAGAGGTTGACTCTGTAAAACCGCTTAGAGAGGGCTGGGAAGTGGTATATATTGCTATTTTGGCCATTGGGAATACACTGTCTGGTGTGTGTGTGTGTGTGTGTGTGTGTGTGTGTGTGTGTGTGTGTGTAAATCATTGTTATTTGACAGCTTCCTAAGGAATCACTTGATTTACAGAACCAAAATGTAGTATGTAAGCTGTGGAGTTTTGTTGTAGGTAATTGTGCATACCAGAATATGTCTTCTGTGGAATAATCAATCATTACCACTTGGTTCTTGCTTTGGAATCTCATGAACGGAATGGAGAGGATAGTCTGTCCTTTCTCTATTGTGGAAACGTGTTGAAGAAGCTCCTTTTTGAAAGTGTTTAAAGTGTTTTAGGGTGAAAGGACAGGAGAGCAGAGTTGTTAGGATCACTGCACCTTTAATCCAGCAATGCTAGGATAAAACGTAGTTTTCATGTGGAGCGGTGTTGGACTTCAATGTTGACTTGACGTCTAGGAAACAGCTTTCCAGGTGTTTTGCCAACATTTATGCCTGCACACTTCACAGGAAACTGAGCAGGGACTGACTAGGTTACTGTCTTTAAAGCTGGGTATCTTGAAATCTATTTTCTAGATCAGGGGTCTCCAACTTTGGCAACTTTAAGACTTGTGGACTTCAACTCCCAGAATTCCTCAGCCAGCTTTGAAGTCCACAAGTCTTAAAAGTTGCCAAAGTTGGAGACTCCTGTTCTAGATCATGGTCACTGTGACCTGTGATCATGGCAGATACTGGCCATTAAAGCTCTTTGTTGTAGCTTTAGTTTCAAACATTCACCCATCAGTTGGCTCAACGAGGGCAGAAATACATAATGGGTGCTTTATTTTATTCTAGCTTGTTTGCAGGTACTCTTGTCTATTTATTTTTTTTGCAGTTGTTTCATTATCTAGCTAGGTAATATTATCAGCAGGAGTTAAGTGTAGTTAAGTCAGCCTCTTGCCCCCAACATTCTGGGTCCTCATTTTACTGACCTCAGAAGGATGGAAGATTGAGTCATCCTTGAGCCGGTCAGGATTGAACTGCTGGCAGTGGGCAGAGTCAGCCTGCAATCCTGCATCCTAACCACTGTGCCACCAGGACTCTTCTTCTCTGTTACTTAGTTAGATACCAAAATATCTGCAAATAGCCAAGTTCAGAGAATACCAGGAACTCCATAGTTCAAAGCTGAGCTAGAGATTCTGTTATTTTGGAATATACCGTATTTCCCCATGTATAAGCCACCCCTTTTTTCCAAAATTTTCAAGCCCAAAAAGTAGTGGGGTGGCATATACAAAGCAGGTACACTTTTTATACGTGAAAAATGCATAAAATAATAAAGTAGGAATAAACTACATACAAACTGCATACGCTAGGCATCGGCCTGAATGCTTCGTTCCTACTCTCATTCCGATGCGTGGATTGCTAGCGTCGCCCACACCACTTTCGACGTCATGACCGAAGTTGTAGATCTAGACGTCGCGGACGACTTTCGTCTGAAGCTTTTTCGTCTGTCGCCGCCCGTACGGACGCCGACCGGGCTTGGCGGCGACCGTCCAGTCGACCTGCCGGCGATCGCGGGGCAGACGGTGTTGCAGCACCGTCGTTTTTTTTCGTGCGACTTGCAAGATTGTACACAGTATTCATTACTGTGTTATTTTGAAATTCTAAAATGCCTGAAAAATGAAGAGACAAGCCTACACTGCAAGCTTTAAGTTAAAAGTCATTAAGTTTGCCAAATAATTTGGTAATCATGCAGCTGAGCGGGAATTTGGACCTCCACCAGATCGGAGGGCAATCATCAGATGGAGAAATCAGGAAGAGAAACTTCGAAAAATGCCAAGGATGAAAAAGGCATGTCGTGGAAAGTCTGCCAAGTGGCCACATTTGGAGAAGGAATTGAAGACATGGATAGTTGAGCAACGTCAACATGGTGTAGTTATTACAACCAAGATGATTTTGCAAGAAGCCAAAAGAATAGCAAGAGAAAAAGAAGTTGAAAACTTTACTGGTTCAGCAAATTGGTGTTATCGCTTCATGAAGAGAGAGAAGCTGTCAATGAGGACTCGCATCAGACTTGCTCAAAGAATGCCTGAAGATTATGAAGCAAAAATAGTGGAGTTTCATAAGTTCATCATCAACCTTAGAAAGCACTGGAATTACGATGTTTCTCAAATTTATAATATGGATGAAACTCCAGTCACATTTGACTGTCCAAGCAACAGAACAGTCGATCTGAATGGTGCCAAGACAGTTTCCATAAAGACAACTGGAAATGAGAAGAACAGATACACTGTCGTCTTGGGTTGTGCTGCTGATGGAACCAAGCTAAATCCAATGTTGATTTTTAAGAGGAAGACTTTCCCTAAAGAAGAAATTCACAACAGAATACTTCTTCACATGCATGAGATAGGCTGGATGGATACTGATGGTATGCAAATTTGGTTCAAGAAGATATTTGGATGCCGACCAGGAGCTCTGCTTAAGAAACCGGCTTTGCTTGTCTTCGATTCCTTCAGGGGACACTTGACTGAGGATGTTAAGAAGATTGCCGAGACTATGAAAACCAAACTTGCGGTTATTCCAGGTGGCCTGACTTGTCAGCTTCAGCCCCTTGATGTTTCCATTAATAAAGCTTTTAAGGTGGCACTACGAGAAGAATGGAACCACTACATGATGACGACAGCAGGAGACAATCTTACCAAAACTGGTCGACTGAAGAAACCATCAATTGGAGAAGTTTCGAAGTGGGTAAAGAAGGCTTGGGACAGTGTGAAGATCGAGATCATTGTCAAAGCCTTTAAAAAATGTGGAATATCTAATTCTCTTGATGGTTCAGAAGATCATTTGATATATGAAGATGACGATGAAGATGACACAGAGGAAGAAGAAGAACTGTTAGCTAAATTAGATGCCAATAATATTGAAGATGACGTGGAATGTGATGGAGCAGATAGTGATGATGAGTGTATGAGTGATTATTATGAATCTTGAATTTTGTTTCTTTGTAAATTTTCTTTCTTCATAACTTGTTTCTCTAATAAAATATTTTTTTCAAAACTTCACAGTCCAAAAATTGGGGGGGGATGGCTTATACAAAGGGGGTGCTTATACGTGGGGAAATACGGTATAACTCTTGTCATTCTGGTATATGCCTTTAGATCTCTTATATGAAGCCACAATTCTCATATGTACTTTTATGTTAACAGGGAATGAACATCACTGGGTCTTCACAGCTTGGTAAGCAACCTAAGAACTTACAGAATATACTGTTGCTAATCAAACTCAATTCCGACTGTAGTTTTATATATGTATAGTTATAGAACTGTATGAAGTCTCCCAGGCTCAGATTAATTGCGTTCACTCAGATTTTTTATATTTGCATTTTAGTAGGCTTTCCTGTTCATTACTCATTCAGGACTCCTGGTTGTAGTTGGCATTTACAGAATAACAGAGTAGGAAAGTACCGTGGAGATCTTCTAATCCAACCTCCTTTCTTTTATGAAACTTACATTGACAAATAGAAAATTACATTTGAGTTAGCTATGAGATTTATTTTTTAAAAAATAGATGAGCAGACCTCCTAATGACATCATTACACACGCCCTCCACAGGAACCATTGCTCTAAAACTGGACATCCACCTATTTGAAATGGTAGAGGGTCTCCTGCTTGGGCAGGGGATTGGACTAGACCTCCAAGGTCCCTTCCAGCTGTTCTGATTGAAGTTTCTTGTGCACAAGCCTATCCACTTTTCAGTGCTATCCGTTTCTCTCAAAATTGGTACTTAACTTCCATGGTTACGGCAAGAAATGATGTTTTGCTTGCAGAAGCTCTGCATATTTTGTGGCTTCTCGTGTGAGATTATAGGATGTGCTTGAAATGCCTTAGTGTTTATTAACCAGAATTTTCCTTTGTAGGAAAGGAAATATTTTTGCAACCGAAAGGGATACATTTTTCAAAAAGTTACATTGTTCATTTGCACTAAATTTCACTAACCACCTTACTAGTCCAATGCGTTTTTTTACGTAAGAAAATTTTGCTTACATGCAAGCTCTAGATATCTAGATATTAAAATCTAGATGACTGCAATATCTGGAATGTTAGATCTACGAATCAAGATATTAAAATTCTGCTACCCTTCATTAATGGTTTCTTTTCTTACAGATAACTCAGAGCTGGGAGACAAATCTCCAACGGATACAATACCTCAACCATCTTCCACCAGTCTAACTCCTAAAGGACCGCCCTTACCAGAGATTGCAATTGAGACTACAGATATTGGTAAAGTGTTGATTACTATCCTACCCAAACCCCCGTCGAACGTAATGAAAAATAGCTTTAACCTTGCTTGTGTCTGTTACACAAGTTAAATTGTGCTGTTTTCTGATTGGCTTCAAAAGTGGGAGATGTTTAACATCTACGCCCTGTTTGCAGCCCAAACAGCTGCATCATGTTGGCCCCTCTGACTGTATCTTCTTGGGGGATGGAGTCCAAATAAACATGATACTAAATATATAGATTTTCAGAAAATTTGTAGGCATTTAAAGCAGGAATATTGTTGAGTAATCAGTTACTCCAGGGGATAATACTTTAAATTTTAGGTTTCCCCCCCATCAGGCATAATAAAGTGAAATTATGTGTGGTTTAGCAAGAATCGGAATATTTGCTTAATTTTAGAAATCGCTGCCTTTTAACAAGTCCTTCATAAATAGTAAATGTAGCTTTTTCTTAAAATGACCCTATTATAGTTTTTAAGCTCCTCTGCCCTATAGACATTCAATGAAAAAAATACTGATGTTCACGAGTGTGATTTTTGGGGGGTTGGATTTACTAGAAAGGCCACCCATGTAAGTTTCTAAGTGAACAGATGTGTTGGGTTGTGCTGCTTCCGTTCCTTTTGTTCTTTTGGTCGTTATCTTTTGGTTGAGGTCTCCTACACCTCATAGCTCTTTGAAAATTATACCATCAGTTAATAGCATGTGGTAAATCGGCTACAATCGTGTGAAAATTTGTGAACATTTTGTTAAGTGCATGTTGTTAGTGAGGTACTTCCTTTCATGGATGTGTTCTCCTTTAGGGTTTGGTAGCCGCTGTGGAAAACCAAAAGGACCAAGAGACCCTCCTTCAGAATGGACATGATGCAAGAACCAATGGACACATATTAAATTATACTGGAAAATTCAAGTGCCACTGAACAAGATTCGTAGTATTCCAACGCTTTATTTTTTTTGGAACGATCTGTGTACATATAGCTACAAATGGTACACTTTTGTATACATCTACACAAATATTAAAGATTCAAAATGGTGGATTCTATAATTCAAACTTAACTTTTTGCTGGGGCCATCAATCTGCCTTATTACATTTTTTAAAAAAGTATTACTTATGGTTTGTTACTTCAAGTATTATTGCCTTAATGTCTTTTAAACCTGTTAAAACATTGTTTATAGACATGTTAATATGGTGAAACTTTTGACAAATTTGAGTTTATGGACTTTTTTTTGCAAATGTTTGATTACCATGTACATTTTATTTTATGTATGTATAGGGCAAGCCAGGTATATAATTTGATAAAGCTGCAATCATAAAGTATTAACAGAAGGTGTAAGAAATCTCTGCATGAACTAAAGTTGTGTACCTTGTAAATTATTTGCCCTAATGTTTTAGAAAATAGTTTTTTTTTAAAGAAAATGTTGGTGCACATTCAGAATTACAGAATAGCAGAGATAAAGATTGTAATACATTTTGTAAATTGTAAGCAAAAAGTTATTTTTATATTATATACTGTTTCAACTGTCAGTCCTAATTTGTCCTGGTTTTCATCTAGTCACTGATATTCCATAAGTGCCTTGAAAGACCAGATTTTTTAGCATGAACAAGTTACCTATAGAGACTAGTGTTATCAACCTATTTGAACTGTCAGTAAAAGAGAATATTTTAAAATCCTTTAAGTTATCCTTTATATATTTTATTTCAATTTAAATCTTTAGAATTTTCAAAAGGAAAACCTTGGTAAGTATCATCAGGATTAAAATCATGGCCAATAATGCTAGCAAAAGACAGTTTTATGTAAACATTTGAAAGTACCAAAATTCTGACTGCATCACATTTTCTCAACAAACTTTACTGGCAAATTCCAAAAGGCCTACCAATTTGTTTCGGTTTATATTGGGGATTCTTCAAGAAACAAATTAATGATTATTCATATATATTCTAGAAGAGGTAGCATTACTGACGGGCTTAAATGTCCTTCCAGTTATAAAATATTTTGTTCCAAGTCCCTTCCCTGCCCCTTTGATTTGCATGCTAAGTGGTCGCACCCTAAGAATAGCAATTAAAACTAGAGTACCTAGAGTAGACTCTTACCCTTTTTCATTATAAGCCCATGGGAATTTCTGAAGGCTGCTAACCCTCAAAAAATACAATGGCCAAGATTTCTAAAATTGTTACTTGGGTTAGCAAGCCGCCCTTTCCCCCCACATAGGTTGAACTACAATGTTCAAATTCTTTAGGAACATGTATAGTTCTTATATGATGGCATTTTTATTTGACTTTTGGTCTGCTATAGTAGTTACTAACCTGATGATTCTAAACCAATTATTTTATTGAAATATCCAGCAATGTGTATGTATGTATCTCCCCCTCCCTCTCTCTCACACACACACAACGTTGGAATATTAGCCTAAACAGAAAAGGCTATGTTGTGTAAGGAGAAAACAAGAGCAGAGTTTACAAATATTACTAAGATGAAATACTCCTGTATAAATCAATGTGTCTCTGGGGCACTTAGTCTCTTGCTGGTAGTGGAAGATTGGGTTCTATCAACTATAATTTCCACAGTGGACTCAGTGAGCAAAGCACTCAGTGAGCAAAGCAAAGCACAGTAAGCAGAATGGTTCTGCCACTGGAAGGACTGGCTTAAGCTATTCTACATGAAGAAAGATACCTGAATTTAAGTGTACTAATACAGGGTGTGCAACATTTTGTTGCTGAAAGCTGTATTTCAGAAAATCAAAAGGGTGCTTAAAACCAACTTGGGTGCAGATGGTATATGCTATGACCAAGCAATGTGGGTTTCTTCCCTCAAAGTTCTTGTACTGAGGCTAATGTGCTTATTTTTTTTTTCTCTAGCAAAACCTGGTGGGAGATCATGATTCCCTTTATAGCAATTTGCTGCTAAATTAGTGCAGTTCCTGCTTCCAGGAAAAAAAAAGGTATGGTGTGGGATCTTGATGTGTCTGTCCACCTAAGGATGCAACTTCAGAAGATCGTTATACGAGTTTTTAAAAACAAATTCATTGCTCGCTTGCCTCGGAAATATATTCTGGAAAAGCACAATATTGTCACAAGAGTATAGTGCATCAGTCAGAATAACATGCTAATTTATTTACCATTGCCCAAAGTCCAAGTAAAGGTAAAAACAGGAATAAGAGGAAATAAACAATCAAGATTATGAAGATTAAATAAAATATTGAGCAGTTGCAATACTTGCACTATTATATAAACACGACATCACAAAGCTTAGAGTTCTTGGAAGAATTTGTGTTGATGGACCAAAAAGTTTATACCTAGGATTTCCAGTCTTTAATACTTCCAAATCATTCCTTTATAAATGTGTTTTTGCAATCTGAAGGAAAATGGTGGTTCAGTACTCATTGCTTGATATTGTTCAATTTATTATGATACAAATCTTAGTAGATTTCACGTAACAGTGAAAGTTTTGTAAAATTCTATAAAGTTTTACACAGTAATGCAGTTAATAAAAACTTGTATTATATAATGCCAGATTCATCTGATACATTTCCAAAAAAACAGGAAATATTGGAAATGTTCATGTAATATAGTCTAATTTCCCAGGTCTCACTTTTCAGTTAATACATTTGTTCTGATAGCATTTTTTTTAAAAAAAAATCCTGTTAAACTAGTTTGTCTGTTTACACAATACATTTCTGTCAAGGTACAACTTCAAGTTTATAGTTTTTTATCTTGGTCCTTGAAAATTCAGCATATTTTTCACTTCAAACATTTAAAAAAGTCTTCTAAATCTCAACATTAGGGCTGCTACAATGGCTTCAGCAGGTAACATCCTACCCAAAGTCTCAAGTATCATTAATTACTTGGATATCTCAAGGGATCTTTAATTGGGTCAGGACCTTATAAAGTGGTTAACATCTATGGCTCTTACCCCTGGGAAGAAAAGCAAGAACAGGAAGTCATAGAACACAGAATAAGGAGGTTGGCAGGGACCTCAGAAGTCTTCTAGTCCAGCAGTCGCCAACCGGTGGGCCGTGAGAAAATTTTGGTAGGCCTCAGAGAAATCTCATCCCCAGAGCACCCCCACAAAGCAATTAATCCAGGCGCACAGAAACACAAGGCTGCGCTGCCCACATGGTCCATGGGAACCCTCACTCCTTACCTGGTAAACTTGCCTGCTAAATTGCTATTTTTCCTTTTTCCGACCATCATCTGTTCTGCTGTGCCGGGAAATTTAAATTAGCTAGGAAGCAGGAAATGGTTGGATTACTTGCTTTCTAGCTAGTCTTTAGATTTTCCGCTCAGCACAGCTAAACCTGCCTTAGGACTGAAGGTTTGCTTGCAAGCAAATTCAGTGCAGATTCAGGGGAAGCAAATTTGAGAGACTGAGCTAGCCAATGGCAGATATAGATCATTGAATGATTCTGTGAACAACTCAATCTGCCGGCTTTGCCTGAGTTTGGGTAAAAGTTGCTTTTTTTAAATAAAAAACTCAATATTTATATACATATATTTACATACAAGCCATGCTCAGCCAGTCATATGACCAAGCCACACCCACAAATTAGGCCACGCCCACAGAACCGATTAGTGGTCCCTGGGATTTAAAATTATGAGTTTGGTGGCCCCTGAGGTCCAAAAGGTTGGCGACCCCTGTTCTAGTCCAACCCCTGCTTTAGTCCAACCCCTGTTTGAGCAAGAGACCCTGTACCATTTTAGACAAATGGTTGTCCAGTCTCTTTCTGAAAGCCTCCAATGATGGAGCACCCACAACTTCTGAAGGCAAGCTATTCCACTGGTTGATTGTTCTCACCATTAGGAAATTTTTCCTTAGTTCTAGGTTGCTTCTCTTCTTGGTTAGTCCTTAATTTGGGCCTTCTAATGGGGTGATTGAGGAGGGGCAACGGTTAGGTCATGTTGCTCTGGATCTCCAACCTTGTCACAGGTGAAGAGATAAGGCCATGTCTGTCTATCTCTGTCACCAGGGTGTCAAAAAAAGAAAAATAATCCAAGAGGGCAGGTCAACATAGCTCAGGTAAGGTATGAAGAAGCTGATCAGCATTATTGGACAACCATTTGTTTGAAATGGTATATGGCTTCCTGCCTGAGCAGTGGGTTGAACTACAAGACCCCCCAAGATTCCTTCCAATTCTAGTTATTCTATTGAGGTAACAGCAATTGTTAGTCTGGACACAGGCCAATTCTCAAAGGCTGGATGCTCTATGGCCAAAGAAACAAAAACGCAAAGCAAGTCAGACTTACTTTCAGCCTGCTTGAAAGTTGCTGGCTATTTAGAGAAATTCTGGATGACCAATCTCAAAAAAACAAATCTCAAGGGCAATAGAGCAACAGGTGCACTCCCATTTCTACTGTCCCTGCAGTCCCCAAGACAAGCCCTTTATGGAAATGGACAGACCATTCAGGAAGCAGACTCAATCACAATGTTAATTTAGGGGACTTTACCTATGCATAAAATCTCTCAGTCCCACACCTTGCTAAGCGAGTTTTAAGACAATGTCATCAGAAACTGACCCACAAAATTGAACTTGTTATAGCATGCAAGTTAAAGGGGCCATAGATACATAGTAAGCAAGTTTCAGGACACCAGACTGACCGAACTACATAGTAACTTGCAAATGCAGCCTGTACGGATCCTGCCAAGATTTCAATGCAATTCTCAATTTCCATAGAAGGATTATCCTTTATTGCAATTCTCTATACAGAAGAATCTTCTATTGCAATTCTCAATTTCCATAAAACGATCATCTATTATTGCAACTCCCAACTTCCATAGAAGGATCTCCTGCAATTCTCAACATCTATACAAGGTTCTTCTATTGCAATTCTATAAAACGATCTTCCCTTATTGCCATTCTCAACTTCCACAGAATCATCTTAAGCTTATGAAGGTTTTTTTTTTTTTTGCATAGCCTCGGCTAGCGACCCCCTTTCTTTCCAAAGACCGACTGAAGCAAGCGCGTCTTCTTGCTCTCCTCACGTTCACTTAACGCTTTCCTTCAAACACACAAACACACACACACACACACAAAAAAAAAAAAAACCCACTACATTCGCCCAGAGTAACTTTTACTCCGGGTCCGCGCTCCCCGGGCCTTTATACGTCAACCTTTCTTCCATTCACACGACGACGGCCGAAAGCAAAACCGGGGCCAGCGACGCGGTATATATTTTCCCCACCTTTGCAAAGCGGAAGAGAGTTTACGTGCTTTGCCGACGGAGCCGGCCTTCAAACGGCCCAATGAACCCTGGCCTTTTCCCTCACCCCTCTTCCGCTCAGATTCCTCCCCGCAAGCCGGCCTCAGAGGACTGCGGAGAGGCCCTTCACCGCGCTCTCCGGGCTTTTCCGGGGCGGGCCGCCGCCACCCCCGCCGCTCCTCCCGCGGCTGAGGCACCATCATCGCCCAGGCGCCTCTTCAAGATGGCGGCCGCGGACGGTTGGGCATCGGGGCCCCTCCGGCGGGGCTCTGAGGAGGGAAGCTTCTCCTGCCGGGGGATCTTTGGCGGGGGCGGGAGGAGAAACCCTCGGCAACTTTCCCCTCAGCTCCGGCTTCCTCGCGTCCTGCCGGCAAGCGCAAACCAAGCCTCGCCCACCTTTCCCGCCTCATGCTTTCCCCTCACAGAAATCGCTTCAGCGAACAACCGCTTCTTCTCTCTTTCCCTCCCTCCTTTTCACTCCCTTCCCGCCCTCGCGCGCCCCTCTGACATTGGTGGCGCTGGGCGTCTCTCTGAGGCGCGCCGCCTTCCTATTGGCCGCCGAAAGTGGCGCTTGAAACGCTGGGCCCGCCCCCCTTCGCTTCCCCGCCCCCCCCCGTCTCTCTCGCGCTCTCTCTCCCCAGCGACGGGCGCTGTGAGGTAAATAGAAGCAGATCGCAAAATGGCGGAGCTGCCCAGTCCCGTGCGAGGGGCGACGGTGGCGCCTCTACCGCCTCCGCCGCTGCCTCCTCCCTCGGCTCTGGCCGTCGACGCCCGCGGCGTCTCCCCGCGCGGGCTCCAGCCGCCGGCCGCCAAGCGCCTGAAGGGGGACGAGCGCGGCTTCAAGGAGGCCAAGCGTCTCAACGGCGAGGGCCACAGGCAGCCTCCGCCTCACATCCCCGTGGCGTCTTCCCCGGCAGGCCCCGCCGTGTGGAGCCTGGCCGCCTTCTCCTCTGGCGGTGGAAGCGGCCCGACCGGCGGCGGCGGCGGTTCCTTCGTCTTCCAGCCTCAGCTGCCCCCCAAGTTGCTTCTTCCGCCGCCTCCGCCTCCTCTTTCCCTCTGCCTGGCCGGCGTGGAGGGCCCCAGCGGGGCCAAGAGCAAGAAGCCCAAGGAGAAGCGCGAGAAGGAGAGGCGGAAAACCCTGCCCGGGACGGCGATGACGGCGGCGCCTCCTCAGGGAAGCGGCCGGGAAGAGAACGGCGACCTGAAGATGCTCCTCCAACAACAGCACCACCATCGGCATCACCATCGCCCGGGCGGTGAGGAAACACCCCCCTCCCGAACCCATAAAAAAGGGGTGGCGTGGCTGGAAAATGGCCTTCCCCTCTGGGGATGGTGGGGGGGGGAGAGGATGAGGACAAAACTGGGGGGGTGGGCAAGGAAGAGATTGGGGGTTGGGGGGATGGCCTGCACCCCGTTTTCCTATTGGGCCACTTGGGGGGGGGATGGTGGTGATGGTTGGGGCTGCCAGTGTCTCCCATTGCAAAGCCAGGCGGAGGAGGCCGACGGGGGCGTGAGAGCTGCCTTGCTTGGCAGCAGCCCCAATATAAGTGGGTGGGAAAGGCCCAGTGAGGGTTGACACGTCCAGATCTGGGGTAACCTCTGCCCCCACTTTCTGCCTGGGGAGTCCCAGGGCGAGATAAGCGGCCAGTAAATTGACCGAATAAATAAATATGAAGAGCACGGTGTGGAAAAGCATATGTGCCTACCGAGAGTCTCCCATCATCCAGGTCGTGGATTGTCCCAAAGGTATCCTTGCATATTGGGATCTGAAGGAAGGTCTGGGATAAGAAGCCGAAATGTTTGCAAAGAAGAAACCCTGAAAGTCCAATGGCCTTTTAAAAAAAAATAAAAATCAGTTTATAATATAAAATACAAAAGCACAAAAGGAAATAGTAGGAAAATAAGGGAAGGGGGAAAGTGTAGGGCAAAGGGGAAAAAGAAAGAAAAGCCTTGACTTCAGACTCCCTTGGGTGCAGTAGAATAAGGTAATAATATCAAACCTAAACTTTTGACTTTTGCATTGTAGCATAAATTAACCATTTCTAGAACGACAAACCTGTCTGATTGGTAAAGGCCAAAATTGAAAGTTTCATCCCCCCCCTTCAAGTCCAGTTGCCTTTTTTGTGTGTGTGGGGGGGAAAGCATTTTTGGAATTTGGAAGCATATGGACATCCGTATCCCCTAATTGTGCACTGGATGCTTTGGGGTTTAAAATACTATTTCTAGTGAGCAAGAAAGGAGCGACTTGTATTTCTTGATATAAGATAGTTTAGCAGCATCAGGTTTTTAAAAAGTGATTATTTGCTATTGGAGTCCACAGTGGTTTTGACATTCTAAAGGGGGCGTTTCTATAGAAGCTGGGAAGAGTGAACTTAAGTTCGGTGCTGTCTGATGTGAGGATTTAGCTGTATGAGAGAGAATGTAAAAGCCTTAAATTTTCGCTTTTTTATTCAGAAGTAAGATCTACTGAATATGCAGGTCTTTGTTATTAAATAAGTCTGAAGCTAGCTGGGGTTAGCTTGAAGAGCTGCTACAAATTTACCTTCAGTATGGATGCAACTGAGAAACCTTTTTCATTACCACTGCAGCTTAAGGAATTTGGGCAATCCAACTGAACATTGCATCAACCTCAGATGAAAAGAAACAAGATTTGATACTTTTGAACTTGATGAGGTTTGAAAGTTAAAAAAAAACTATAAAAATGGGCCCTGTAATGTAATCTTAAATAATATGCGTGCTCTTTTCTTTTTAAGTGGCAAAAGTTCCAAGAATGTCATGTGGATCTTTATACTCAATCAATTATTGTTGAACAGAAAATGAATTGAACCTTGTTTTAAGTTGATGCCAACTGGTTTTATGCAGGTTTAAATCAGGATTTTAATGGCAGCCATTTTAGCTGGAATAGAGAAATAGGTGGTAATTTTTCACATGTTAGGACGTCTTGAAATTCTGTACTTAAGCTTTTGAATTTCCATCCAAATATTTCTCAAAACTTTTCAATATGACTTGGTAGGGAGTAATCAAATTAGATGCTTTTGCCAAAGAGTATCCTAAGGATAACTTATTAAAACTTCATGGTATTTATCAGTGAAACATTTAATATAGAATGAAATAAATAAGTGTTGACTAGTAATCATGTACACTATATTTGTATGGCAGTATAGTTTACCTAAGATTGTTTATCAACGTGAATTGTCCACTATTCATCCTGCTCTTAATGCCTTTTTAAAAAACCCAGATTTATAGTAGAAAGGATGGAAAGGTAAAATTTTCTTCAGGGGAAAAATGCTTTAAAAACAGCAAAATAATGTGAGGAAGGTTTTACCTTCCCATATGTTTCTTTCAAGAAAATAGTGAATGCTGCTTTATTGGTGAAATAAACAGATATGGGGAAGAAACATATGGTTCTCCTGTTGCATCTGGTTTGGCTCAGTAAAACTATATACTCATGAAATCAAGTTGGAGTTAGAAATGAAATGTAATTTTCAACAGTAAAAACACTTCTCTAACCTTTCCAGAGTGCTATTAATATTTTTAGGCTTATGGAAATCTAATCTGAATACAACAAATCTGGCTTTTTAAATCATTACTGTTGTTTTGCATCTAGTAATGTTCAAGGCTGTTTGGAAGTTTTAATTTTAACAAGTCAGTGTTGCAAAGCTTGCAAGAACAGGAGGTAAGAGGGGACATTGCTTTGAAACAATCACTGGAGCAATTTAAAGGAATATCACAGCCTTATGACATGACTACGTTTTCTTTTAGGTAAACTGAAAAATAATGTAATGGTAAAACCTCTTGGCCTTCTCAGTATCTGTCAGTTTTTGGCAGGGCCTGCCTTCATAGCATAGGGCTCACCAGTGAGTGTGTTTTCAACAGCTGCAACTTCTAGTTTCCTTGGCTGGATTTTACAGTGTGTAGGGTTTCTCAGCATCTTTGTAGTGCTTGCATGGCCAGCCTCAAGGTCGCTCTAGTACTACTAGAGGGCAACTACGGTAGATAGTCATAAGGCAGTCATCCATTTTCATGATGCATCCATCCACTTAATTCTTCTGAGCTCTGATAATCAAAGGCTGAATGCTGGTGATCCCCATATTGGAGATACGATCCTGACAGTGAATGCCAAGAATGGATCAGGGAGGGTCCTTGTGAAATTTCTCCAGCTGTTTGATGTACCTTCAGTACAGAGTCCAGAATTCAGCATCCATATAGGAGAGATAGTACCACAGCTGTGTAGAGTTTCAGCTCTGTGGAGATACAGGTATTAAATCTTGATTGAGCACTCTAGTCTACAGCCCCCCAAGTGCCTGGCTGGCCTTGCTAATCAGTTCATCTAAAGACCCATTGCTTGAGCTGATGCTTCCCAAGTAAGCTGTTTACATTTGTCCTTCTCACCCTGACACATGACCACAGGAAAACAAAGAACAGATTGAAGTATTCTATTTTCTAGCTGGGGTGTGGATCACTTGTTCTGATACTGTGTTACCTATTGAGAACTTATGAATGCTGTATGGATAGATGACTATAGGCCACAACATGCTAGATTACATATTAACATTCACTTAGGTTTATTAGAAAGATTGATAGTTTCTTAGTAATAAGGGTATGGCCAAGGTGACCACTTAAAGTAGCATTACCTTTCACATTATGAGAAAGTTGATTATTTTAAAATATTGTTGTCATTGATGTTTCTATCAACGTTTGCCAATTTTGTATGTACTATACTTAAGAACAAACCATAGAGAAAGTTTTGAGATTTTTAAACATGTCTCTGTTTATTTACCTGACATACTGATGTGCCAGGATGTTCCCAGCAAGCTTAGCCTGTGGTATCTTATATCAATCTAAATACCAATTAATCCAAGCAGTAAAATATCAGAACTAATAAGAAGAATTAAAACCAGTGTCTCATTGAAAAGCGGGAAAGTTTCTTTTCAGGGTAGCATGAATAACAGGCCTTGAAGGATGCCATGTGTCCAGTAAATGCAACCCATTATTCTAAGCTCATAACAGTACTTGAAATTCATTGGCTTTGCTTGGATTACTACTCTTTTAAAAAGATCTTTCAGTTCCTCCTAATCCGATAATATCTTGCTACTACTTCCTCCAAAATATATGCTGTTACTTTAACATACTAATCTAAAAGTAGGCAGAGGAATCAGAAATGCAACAAGGACATTCAATTGAATTTTTAAGAATTTTTGTGCTGATGAAAAATGAGAAGATTCAGTTCTGATGTTTTTATGCTTGTTGGATGGCCATGACTTTTTTTTTGTCTCTGAACTATTTTCCCACAGTGAGTTGTCTGAAACTAGAGTTTCACCATTGCTATCTCAAATACTTAGTGTGAGGATACATTTGTTTTTAAATGTCTAGCATCCGACAAAAGAAAAGAAGCATCTTGTAATAGATGCTTTAGGAAGCAATGTAGAGTCCTGCTATATTTTCCTAAGAATACATTCAATACCTGAGACATTTGTAGAAGGTTGTGGCCTATTTTATTATATTTTATATTTTATTTTCCTGATACAAATCTCAGTTTTTTACCTTTACATGCTTAACTAGTTGGGTAGAAATTCTTGTCACATGTAAGATGATTGTCATACAGGACTTTGCATTTTGAAAAAAAGGCAGTTGAAGTTATATGGAAAGCAGATGCTATTATGCAGCAGTCTAAATAACATTAGATTTCAGGGAATACTTAGTATTATGACTAAGAGAAAACTACATCATTTCAAAACAAAGGATACATAAAATAGTTTAATTTTATATACAACAGTATGAGAATTTAGAAAATTTAAACTACAAATGTATTTCTTTCATTGAATGTAAATAAACACTTATGCATTTATTGTGGCTAAAATTTTACATTATTTAAAATGTTCATATATAGTCACTGCTTTAAGACTTCCAGAAGTTTTAGTCAAACAGTTGTGATTGTATCTTGAAGTTCAGCTTTGCTATAGATCTGTGGGACTCATAGAATGCTGCAGCCCTCAAGGCAAAAGAAATATAACAATATATCCTATTTTACTCTTGAAATCGTCAGTTGTTCAATGTTTGACTGAACATTTGAAGTTCAGCATGTGCAGATGCTGGAGAAGGGGAACTGGGACATGCAGGGAGGTGCTGATTTTTCTTTTGTTTACGCATCCAGTTTAAAACAGTAAGCAATCATTAAAGTCAAAAGTAGCACATAAGAAATAACATAAAGATACAATGTTGATCATACTTTGTCCTGTAGCAATTTTTGGAAAAGAGTACAAGTTAACATTCTAATAAATTCCTAGATGGCTTAGGTATTTCTTCAAAGGCTGTAGACTTTTCTGAGTTCAGAATAGGCTTATAAAATCTATGTATTTGAAGTATTTGAAAGTGAATTAAATGTGTTTGGCTAGCAGTAGATTGCCTTGGACAGAGGAAGAATTGTTGTCACAGTGGCTGATCTAATGCCCTATGATTAGAACTCTTGATGCAGTAATTTCATATGCCTTTTGACAATGCTTCAACTTCACAAGCTGCCCTAGATCTCAGTGGCTTCTTTTATAGTCTGGTGTGGGATCCTCTTGGAAGTTTGTGCAAAAGGTATTTGCTTGCTAACAGAAAACCAGTATAACATAACACCCATACTATAGGTGATCAAGGTTGTAAAAAGATTAAAATACATGATTAATTGGAAAAAAATCAATCTAAAGATTAAAATTTCATCAAGATTATTAATAAAACTTCAAAAGGCTCATCATTTTATAGATTCAGCAGAGTATTCTGTCATTTTTATGTTTGTTATTATTTTAGGGATTAATTAGCTGTTACAGTAGTATTTCTTAATTCAGAGTATTGGAATATTACTGTATGGTCTTTTACAACAGGAATTTGAAATATATTGGTCATAGAAGTTGTATAACTTTTAAAAGTTTGTATTTTTTATCTCTTAAACTGAAAGGTTAAGAATTATTACATTTTTCTATGCAAGAGTGGACTAAAAGGCTCTCAAGTGATCCTTAAGAAGTGGAGAATAATATTACAAAACACAAATAACTGCTCCTTTTAAGGAAAAGGAGCTATTATAAGGGGGTGTATTAACTAGTTGATCCAGTTTTGAAACTTCTAGATTAAGCTGTTTTCCCCATCAGGATTCTGAATTGGACAGTTTTCAAGTGTTCTTGGTTGGATCGCAGTTGGACAGATTTATGAAATGCTGACCTTTGCCAAACAGCAACTTCTCATCTGTCAAGGGGATAAGCAGACTTAATTAGTGGAAGAGATATAAAGTAGATTTTTTCCCCCTCATTTTTTTTCCTCAGAATATAATTAGGAATCTCCCAAACCTCAGTGTTTGTTTGGCTTTTTGAAACAAAAGGGATTATTGAACCAAGATTTCAAAATAATGAGGAAGGGGAAATATATAGTAACAATATATAATATATAATGACAATATATAAGGTGCTTTTCAAAAGACAACTGGACTTTCTTGGTTCTTTTCTTTGAAAGCATTTCATTTCTAATCTAAGAGCTTCTTCAGTTCAGAACTGAAGAAGCTTGTTGGATGAGAAGCAAAATATTTTCAAGGAAAAAAATTAAAGTCTGGTTGCCTTTTGGAAAAGCACCTTTGGGACAACCATGACCTGAGTGATTGAGAATCTCTACAGATAGAATGACATAAGGATATGGAACTCACATATTTTTGCATTCATGGTATAGGCTTGGAGAGTTATTCTCAAGCCTAATTTACCTGCTGTAAATTGGAACATATATTGGTCAGGCACTTTGGTTGAGGTAGCATGCTGAAGATTATGAGCACTTTGCGTTTTAAAAGTGGTATGTTAATGTAATTTCCATTTCTTGTCACTGCAGTTGCATTTTGTGAAATTGTGGTTTTAAGAATAACACTCTAGATTATTAAAAAAACAAACCCTAAATACTGGCACATGTAAGAGAGACCTATAATATTTTTGCTTATCTTTGGAAACATTAGGAACAAAACTAGATGGCTATGATGAATCCTGGTTGTCAGTTTATTTCTGAAGTATGGTGTTCTGGTTAATTATCTCTTTGTATTCATATATTGTTTAACAATAATCTGAGTTTCAAACACTCTAGAGTGAGAAGAAAGGCATTCAATTATTGATTTTGGAAGTTGTACTGATCTAAGACCTATTTCGGTTCTGCTGCTTAAAACTGTAGTCCATCCCCCAGTCACTGCAAATGAATAATTGTGTCAATTGTGGGTAAATTCTTTTTAAAACTTTCTTATCTTTATTGAATATGAACATACTTCCTTTTCAGATGAAATAATCAGAGAAAAAAACACAGAACGAGACAAGGAAAAGCAGAAAGAAAAAAAGAAGCACAGATTAATGTCTGAAATAAAAAAAGAGAATGGAGAAATGAAATTATTTCAGAAAGGTGAGCACAATATTGTCCACACGTGATGATAGTATATACATGAGAGAAGATTTTTTTAAAATGAGTATGCTCTTAAATATTTTTAATTCTGATTTGTTCTAGTTTCTTTTGATAGGAGGCCGTATGACTTTTGGTTTTCATTTCAGGTTTGTACTTAAGACAAAGAGTATCATGTTTATCTAGTTACAGGTCTGAAAGCTTTTACTTACAAACAGTAATTTGAATACCAAAACAATTATGTGAGAATTAAAGGCAAGTGCATAATAATTGTCTGAAATGTGAATTTGTGGCACCTTTCTAGGATCACATTCTTACATGAAAAGAAATGTTTCTAAAATGGGTTATATATATTTTTTTCTCTTTTCCTCTTCTGTTGGGTTTTTGTAACAGTGACCACAGTATTATTTTGGATTGCCTGTTAAATTGGTTTTCAGTTGTTGTTATATGGTGGCCTAGATTGTGCTGTGGAGATTAATTTCAGAATTAATCTGAAATTGGAAATTATTGGGGATGAAATTTGTGGGAATCTTTTATTCTGCCATACTACATTGATGAATTCATATTTTACTGCCATGAAAAATGCTTTGCAAAAGATAACCTAACAATTAAGCTGCAGATATTCACCCCGGAAAGCTCAACATGTGTATAAAGATTATTTTTCATGGTTAATGGCCAAATTGAAGATAATATATCCAAACTTAAAATGCAGTTAATCCTTTAGGATGGCAAGGAAGGGATGACTGCTGTTAAATATGTAGTTATATTAGAGCTAAGAGCCAATGCAGCCACAGCCGCAACGAAACAAGGCACCATCATCTTACTTCCAAACTGAAAGTTGAAAACTATTAAATTGAAAATCAATGACAGTAATGTAATAATATAAATGGTCCACACTCCTATGATTTACAAAAGACTCTGTTATATGTAGGTTTTATCCAAACATCAGACCAGTCCACCAAGCCAAAATCTACAAGTATTTGTTCATCAAGCCAAAATCTGGTAAAACATTGCTAATCTGGATACAAGGGTTTAATCAGTGTTGGTTTTAACCCCCTAAAACCTTGACTGAGTCCATCTTATTTTAAAAATTAGTCTTACATGTTTTTCATTCTGTATGTGTATACATTTATACCCAGCTGATATAAGCATGTAAGACAGCTTACAACCACAATAGAAAAAAATCTTAAATGCATTGAAATGAAAAATTGAAAACATTACAATAATTGCAATGAAAATAAGTTAACAGTTAAAAACTTGATACGGTTGAAATATTGGGACAGAAGGAGCCAAATGGGCCTATTTGGAAAAACCTCCAGTATCCTGAGAGCTGCTTAGGAGAACGAGCCCTTTCTCCAGTTCACCAGGCAACTGAGCTTCTGCCAGTGATGGAAGCGTCTTTTGAAGCTGCTCACTTGTGATCTAAATACAGGGCTGGTTCGCAGCAGGAAAGGCAATCCCTTAGGCCATAAGTCATTTAGGGTTTCCAAAGCCAATATCTTACAACATCTTTCATAACTTGGTAGATAATTGGCAGTTCTAATGCATGCCAGGATTGTGCTTTTATTCAGGGTTAAGTCCATATAGCAGCTGTTTTCTCACAGGTTGGCCTGGCAATAGAAGGCAGAACTTTGAGGCTGTAGAGTCCACCTTTGCTGAACCCTTGACTTCCTTGTGTGGGCTGTCACTTGAAAGACAGGAGGGCAACTAACTGCCTCTGACTTTCTTATCCTGCAGCAGCCAGGTTGCAGTCTCCTCTGATATGTCCTTATGCAAACAATACTTGGCTTACAATCATCCGTTTAGTGATGGTTCAAAGACACAAGGGCATTGAAAGAAGTGACATGACCGTTTTTTTACACTTACCACCACAGCATCCCCTCATGGTCATGTGATCAAAAATCCAGGCCCTTGGCAACTGACTCACATGATGCTGGGATACGGTTGCAGTGTCCCAGCATCATGTGATGCCCTTTTGAGACCTTCTGACAAGCAAAGTCAATAGGGAAGCCAGATTCACTTCACATGTTACTAACTTAACAACTGCAAAATGGGGCAAAACTCATTTAACAACTGTCTCCACTTAGCAACAGAAATTTTGGGCTCAGTTACAGTTGTAAGTCAAGGACTACCTGTACCAAATCTGCCATCAAAATTTGTTCCCAGGACATACTCAATTTCCCCAGGACTGCAAAAATCCAGATGACCACTACGTGGCACCATGTTTTCTGTATTGCTTGGTCGCCATTGATTGGCTTTTCTGATTTTCCACTTTCTCCCATCTCCTTCATACATCTCATAACACCATGATCAATAAAGGAAGGATTCTCTCCCATTGTGTCTGCATAAAGGCAAACACAACAACCTACCCAAGGAATCTGTGTCAAGAGTTTCCAGAAGAAACTCCTCCTCTGACAGCAGTCTCACTGTTACAGGAAGTAGGTGGTGTAACTTTTGCAATCCTTTCAGCTAGCAAAATTTAAGCAATTGAGGTCCAGCAAAAAAAGTGAGAAGCATCTTTGCGGCTTCTCTCCAATAATTGGTACATGCTGATATTACTCCTTTCAGGTTTAACCTGCAAAACTCCAGACCACTACTTGATGGTAGCGAAAAGATACGGAAACCATTACCTTTTTCCTGCCGTAAAGTGCTCATTGGAATATTTATTTAATCATCCATTATGCTACTCTGTCTTCAAGCGTCTTACAGATTTCTGAAACAGCAATGAGATAAACTAAAAAAGAACAAATATAATGGTAAATTTTCCTACTGCTGATGAAAAACTTATTCACAATTGCCTCCACCTCCCCTCCCCTCACCCATCACCACCATCAGGAAAACAAGAACAATCCCTCGGAGTCCAAGGACTCACTGAAGCAGCAGCCTAGTCTTAATGGCAACTTAATAGGGTTGGGTCCTATCTGCCTTCAGGGGGATCCTATTCTGGAGAAGGGAACCAACCATTTAAAACAGCCGATTCCAGGAACCCTGTGGGTAATATTTGTCTTTGACTAGGAATCCCAGATCTTTTTGTAATCCTGACCTGGTATTAATGATTGAAGGTAAAAGTGATATTGCTGTTCTTCAGGATTCATGTGTAGCATGTTTTTATTAACTTTGCAACTTAAATCGGTTTACAGTACTTGGTATATTATTGCATGGGATATTTTTCATCTTCATGTAGCTCCAGTTTTTGATAAATTAAAGCAAAAACCTTTCTTTCTAGACATAAAAGAAAAAGCGAAAAGCAATGCAGACGATCTACAGATTAAAAAAGTAAAGAAGAAAAAGAAAAAGAAACATAAAGAGTGTGAAAAACGGAAGCGTCCAAAAATGTACAGTAAATCTATTCAGACCATCTGCTCAGGATTGCTTTCCGATTTTGAGGATCAAGAAGCCAAAGGCATTGTGGATCACCACCACCATCACCATCATTTCAGTGAGAAACATAAGAGTCCCAAGAAGGACTCTGAGTCCAAGAGAGTGGACAACAGTGAGTTTCCCTTTGTCTCGTTAAAGGAGCCACGGGTTCAGGACAAACTACAGAGGTTGGATGTGCTGGAGTTCAAAGAGTTCATTCATGTGGAGCACCAGCCTAACGGAGGTGCCTCAGTGGTTCATGCCTACACGAAGGAGCTCTCCCACTTGTCTCCTGTGGAGATGGAGAGATTTGCAGAGGAATTTCTGGGCTTGGTTTTTAGCGAAAAGGAGAACTGCACCGCTTACTATGTAATGGGAATTGTTCATGGGGCAGCTACTTATTTACCTGACTTTTTAGACTACTTTTCATTTAATTTTCCCAATTCGCCAGTGAAAATGGAGATTTTGGGAAAGAAAGATATAGAGACTACAACTATGTCCAATTTTCATGCTCAGGTAAGAGGTTATCTTTCATATTTCAAAAAAACATTTTGCTTCCTATTCAATGTGCCTGTTGTTGCTCCTTTTCTCTAAAAAAAATAAAATAATTTGGTTAAACAACACAGTCAGCTTTCTAAAAATATGTATTAAATACTAGTGCTTTTTCTCTTTACACCGTGTTATGTAGAGAACAAAAATGATAGCAGTAATATCTATTTTTGATAAGGCAAATAAAAAGGTCCTGTGAACTATCTGCTCACAATTGGAAATTCTGCCTTGTATTCCTTGTTGGCTCTGGAGTAGGAGGTGCTAGTTTCGTATATTCTGAATGTCTGTGGACCTTTCTGTTTCCATTAAGGCTGAAAAACAAAACAAAACAAAAAATAGAATAGAAACAGTAGGGGAAAGAACAATTCATAAAAATGGTTAATGAAAATCAAAGCAAGTCAGTGGCTATGGAAATTCTCAGTCATCCTGGTCAAGGATGCAAATGACCAGCTTATCTGGAAGGAGTATAAATCCTTCCACTGCCCACCATCTAGCCAGATCTAAAGAAGCTTCTTGGATGAGAAGCAAAACATCTTCAAAGAAAAAACCAGAAAATCCAGTTGCTTCTTGAAAAAGCACCTTTGGGTCAAAATGAGTCATTTTGTCCAAAAGTGAAGTGGCTGCAATCTTGTATATGCTTATCATGCCTGGACCCAGCGAAGCCTTGAGCCCACCTTAAGATGTAGCTGTGTAACTAAAGGAAAATAAATGCAACATATCTAACCCTTCCATTGCAAAATTAGAATAATAATGCTTGTTTTATGCCTGCAAGTGGACTTTGTGTAATAAAATAAATAAATTATTGAGTTTTTCGTATATTAATATTTGCCACTTGCCTTTAAAGAAACATCTAGCAACGTTCCTCTTGATTAAAAGAATGTGGAGACGTTTAAAGCAAAATGGAACTGAAATAGCATGTGGTATAAAGCTATTTTCATGTTGCAGAAGCTGTATGGTATGGCTGATGTTTTGAGTTCTCCTTTGAATTCTCTCACCGTGTTTTGAAGCATTTAAAATTCAATGTTAGGAGCAAGATTGTTACATGTAATTAATACGTTTTGCTGTATATGGGATGGGGGGAATGGGGAGGGAGAGAGAGAGAGAGATCAATATAATAATCTTAATCTCTATCTTATCTATAGTCTAAAATAGTAAAAGAACATAGATGAATAATGAAGCTCAAAATCCAATGTCAAAATATTCATTAAAGAGTTTAAAATATTTTCCAACTATGGAATTGGAATGATGATGTTATAATTATAAAAACATTTATCCATCTTCAGAAGGAGTTAATTACATGTTTATACAATACAACGAACATAAAAAATACCTTAAAATGCAATTTGAAAGAGGCATCAACAAAGCAAGTTTAACAACCAATTAAGCTGTTTAAAGCCTGTAAAATAAAAATTTCTTGGCTGCTTATCTCAAAAGTATCAAGGCAGGGCCAAGTCAGATTGAAGGGCTGCATTGAAAAAAACAGTGTACTGTCGCCATCTGGCCTGCCTTTTCTTGTAAAGAACAGTTTTTCAATGGCCCCAGCTGTCAGGGCAGATTCTTTGGGAATAGATGGTCTTTCCAATATTCTTATCCCAAGAAATTTAAGATTCAGATCAGTTATATGCAACACTTTGAATTGGACTTGAAAACCATCCCCTAGCAAGCTATAAAAATTATTGAGTGAACACCACTTGTTCTATCCTCCTTTTGTATCCTCCTTAAGGAGAGTTTCATGTAGAATATGTTACAGTAATTTAATTTGGGCATTGAATTACCCAGTTTTGTCAAACCTGGGAATATTCTCAGCAATGGCCATGCTGATTGAAGAATTCTGGAATTCCATACATGTGAAAGTGACTTATTGTAGAAAGCTGACCTCGGATATGTAATCATACACCCAGATATATATTTTTTAGAGGAAAGGATGTAATAGTAATGGCTGGGGTTAACAACGGCATTCGTAGTCACAGCAGCTACCTTAATATTGAGGTGTAAGGTCCAGAACATATGGAAATCACAAATCTCATTCTTCACAGGGAATAGAACCCCAACCAGAATAACTGCTCTTTTTGTATGTATGGCCACCCAGTATTGATTTTTCTGTTTTGTCAGAATCTTAGCCTCTTTGTTAACATCCAGCCCATCTGTGGAATTATGATACTTTGTGTTGTTTGAAAAAAAATAATTAAAGAAATTGTGAGGAGAATTATGTAGGGTGGAAAACTTTTGTAGAATTTTATGCCAATATCTACATTGTGATTTATTTTGGAGAACTAGCTCAAAACAACTCCTTTGAAATTTATTTACATATATTGCCTTCTAGGTATTCTTCCTGTGAAAAAGTTTGTATCAGTTTTGGCTTGTATCAAATACATGTTTAAATATTTGCAAGTTAGTTGCTCTCTTCCTTGTTTTCAAAGGAATTATACTATGAAATGAATATTGCTGCTAGGATGAATTAAGGGACTTTTTTGGGGGGTGGGAGGAACCGAGTCGCACTTTTCACAAATTGGAGTAATTCATTTTCATTCATTTGTGCTCTATTTCTTGTTTGATTTTTTTTTAATGAAAGTTTTGTGTGTTTGAGGAATGTTCTTAAACTGTTTATCTTTTTGCAAAAATATATTGCTTATTATATTAATGAATGGAGGATTTCTGAATGACAAAGGGAGAACTCTATTCATATTTGTGTAGATGTAATGGAAAATGTGGGAGAGATGCTGGCTAGGAAATAATCAGAGAAGAGAGGCAGGAGCCCCCAGCTGCTTACTGTCAAAGGAAGAAACTTAGGAGGGACTTCCCCTTAATGGATCAAGCAGCTCAAAGTGGCAGCCAGGAAGTTTGTACTTTCAGACTTGCAAGATTGACATCTGCCCCCCTAGGTAAACCAGACAGGAAACATGAACTAATTCTATTTTGTTGTAAGGCCACCTTGACAGAATCTTGCAAGTCTGAAAATACAAACTTCCTGCCAGCAATTTTAATTGCTTGATCCATGGGGTGGGGGGGCTTCATAAGTTTCTTTTTCTGACTGACCTTTTATTTATTTAGTTTTTTTATCCTGCCTTTATTATTTTATAGAAGCAGGTATGGGGACTCCTGGCTCACTTGTCTGATAGTTTCCTAAGGAGAAAATATTCTTTTCCTTCCCTAGTCATCCACACATTCCATTATAGCAAATTTCACAATTTTTTCTCTTGCATGGAGAAGTAGAATTTCACTCAGTTCCATTGTTTGTATTAGAATATAATTTGCTGCTTGTTAAACTTGTTCGTTTCATTCTTGCTCTCAAAATAGAACAGGTTCAGTCACAGCATGTGTAATCATTCTCTTTCTATATTTAGAGAGCTGAACAAAATGCCTGCTAGACTTAAGAGCAGAAATGCTCCATTCTTGATGCACCAGGATTCACTCTCGAGCCATATCATGGACCCATTATAAAACAACTTGAAATTATTAAATTTTGAGGTGGTACCTTTTAATGAATAATTAATTTAATTTAGAATGTACTCAGCTGAAGCTAAAAATAATACAGTGGCATAAAAAAACTGTCCTAAATTTTTTAATGCCACTATAATTTTACATAGTCCTATGCCCCAAGTCCTAAAACTAAATTGAGAGAACCCAATTTAAACAAACGAGTCAAAACATACTTATTCCTGGATTTGAGAAAAATGATCCAAAGCTACATATTTGTGTATGACAAAAGTTATGTGAAATAAAGATGTAGTGGGAGTCACAACTCATTGTATCAGGTGATGTGACAAGACTTAATCCTCTCCCCCCCTCCAGATTTGGCGTTGAAATAAAACTTGGGAGGCCTCTGGAAGAAAAAACACTACTATATCTGTGTTCAAAAGGTCCCAAGAAATTCTGAAATCATGAATTTAAGCTGTAAAATGGCTGAATGTGGTGATATGGTCTCTGATGAGGAAAGGTACTTTATCTCCCAGAGGTCTTTCACTTCTAGTTCCTTCTTTGTTTTTAATGAGGGATTCAAAAAATAAAAGTAAAAAGCCATCCAAAATTACACTATAACAATACCTATGGCCATTTGGCTTTTGAATTTTGATAGTGTGATCGTGGAATATTGGTTGCGGATAAACAGGATTTTGAGAGAGATTGTATTTGTGTGAGTCCTGCTATTCAGTAAAATGCTGTTAAACCAAAGAACTGTGTAGTGCAATATAACAAATCAGGCTCCCCAGTTACTCTCCTGAAAATAATTGTTTGCATTTATTCGCAGAAGGAGTTGCAAGGCTGTTATGAAAAGGAACTACAGGTAGTCCTCGACTTATGACCACAATTGAGGCCAAAATTTCAGTTGATAAATGAGACATTTGTTAAGTGAGTTTTGCCCAGTTTTACGACCTTTCTTGCCTCAGTTGTTAAGTGAATCGTTGCAGTTGCTAAGTTAGTAACACGGTTGCTACATGGATCTGGCTTCCCTCATTGACTTTGCTTGTCAGAAGGTGGCAAAACACTGCAATTGTCATAAACATTAGTCAGTTGCCAAACATCTGAATTTTAATCACGTGACCATGGGGATGCTGCATGTCACATCCTAAGTGAAAAATGGTCATATGTCACTTTCTTCACAGTGCCGTTGTAATTTGAAATGGTCATTAAACAGACTGTTGCAAACTGAGGACTACCTGTGTTACATTTAGGCTTTGTAAGTTAGGTGTGTGTCTGCGTCTGCAACGTGCCTCTTTTGAGTCTTAGAAGAAAGGTATTGGACAAATTTCTCTGCTTTAGAAATCAGATATAATTTGGCATGCCAAGTAAGCCACTGTAGCCTAGTTCATACATAATACTAGGGCATAGATCATGGCTTGGAAACTAGAAAAACTAGACTCCTTCTTCATTTAACGAAAACCAAACAGAGTACATTACAATTTATCAAGAGGTTAACTAAATCATTTTCTCACAGTGTAAACATTTGTATGATATTGTATTTATTAAATGGCATTTGTTTTCATTACTCTCTTTCAGAGAGAGTTAGGGTGGTAGAAGCAATTCTTAATTCATTCTCTCTCTCTCTCTCTCTCTCTCTCTCTCTCTCTCTCGAGAGAGAGAGAGAGAGAGAGAGACTTATCTATGCAGTTTTAGATTTCTCTGTTCTATTTATTGTCTATTGACACAGAATATATGAGGCAATTAAAAGCCAATTAACCACTTCCTGACGAGCCAGCAACAAAGCATCAGAATATTGCCCCAGAAGAACTTTCAGTTGAGAAGGAGGAGGAGAAAAAGGAACTGAAAACAGAATTGCTTAGCTGTGAAAAATCATTCCAAAACGGTCCCTCGTTTTAGCAGATGACAACCATTCATGAAATGGCATATTTACAGTAGCCTTTTAACTTCAAACTTTATACTAAAGACAACAAAACAGGGAGGGAAGAAAACAATGGAAACAAAGGGCAACAAATTAAATGGCACAGGTGGTCCTCAACTTATGACCACAATTGAGCCCAACATTTCTGTGGCTAAGTGCAAGATTTGTTAAGTGAACTTTGCCCTGTTTGACGACTTCTCTTGCCACAGGTGTTAAGTGAATCACTGCAGTGTAAAGTTAGTTGTTGAGTGAATCTGGCTTCCCCATTGACTTTGCTTGTCAAAAGATTGCAAGATGTGATCACATGACTCTGGAACACTGCAACTGTCATAAATATGAGTCAGTTGCCAAGCATCCGATTTTTAATCACGTGACCATGGAGATGCTGCAATCGCTAAGTGTGAAAAGCGGTGATGCATCACTTTTTTAATGCTATTATAACTTTGAACAGCCACTAAATGAACTTGCAAGTCGAGGACTACCTGTATTAATCGCAATGCTCAGTGGAAATGAAAACAGTTCAGGGAGAGGAAAAGATAGTATTCCACTATTTAAATCAAGTTTTGATAAAAGTTCATGCATTTTTCTTATAATACTGTATAGCAAGAACAGACAAAATAGAACAGGCAATCTTCCCTGAAATATATTGCATTTTCTACCATCTATAAAAATACCTGAGTGTTTTGTGTGATAACTTTCCATACCATATGATAAATTCATGTTAAAGTTTTTATAATCACCACTGTGAAAACATTTGGCCCCTAGCATGCTTTTTGAGAGTGTATTTAATGTCATTTGTGGATGCAGTAAAATGTAATTTAAGAAATAATAGAATAAACTTTACATTTATTGGCTCAAAATTTTAAACCAAAATTGTTATAAAAATGCTGACTGGTTTTTTTTAAAAAAAACAGAGTGATTACTGCATTACTTACATAATCAGTGCCAATGTCTTTAATTTTAATTTGGATATATTATTTTCCACAATCAGTTTTAGAGCAATTATCTTGCAGTACACTTTAAAATGCTCAGCAAGTTTAACCAAATGGTTCTTAGCCTTTAAGACCTGGTCCATTAGACTGTTTTAATGATGTCCACTGTGCTAATTGAGTGTTCTTGTGGTTTTGGTTTTGTATCAGTAAGATGCCCAGAGTTTGTGGAATTGGGTCTGTATATGAATTATGCAAAATAAAGAGATTTAATCTCCCAAATATCGTCATAAATTTTCCTCATGCATTGTATGAGTTTATGTATAAAAATATAGGGCATCCAACTTTAAAAGCTCTATTAGTAAATTAAAGTTGTCTATAGGGGTTTCTGTGGAAGTAGTATGCTTAATGGATTAGGACCGTATTTGGCTGCCAGGCTGCTAGTGAAGGGTTTATTGAATTTTCTTTGTGGGAACAACACACATTGAAATCCACCTCCCCCCACACACATATACATGAAAAAAAGCATTCTAAAGCCCAGAAAGTTGAATCTTTGACTAGAGAGATGTAAAAATTAGCACTTTTGCATTAGTGACAACTGTACAATCTGTTATTTTAGCGGGTTGAATGTAGGAACTCTGTGTGCGTTAGATCATCTGGTAATTTAAAAAGCCATTACTGGATTGCTGACTATTCAGCTGAATAACCTTGAAAGTACAGCCGTGATGACAACTTGATTGATTCCATCATTCAAAGCAGTGTTGGCAAAAAAAAACGAGAGAGCAACTTAGATGAGAAAGCATTTTCTGCCTCTTAAAAATGGAAATGCATTCTTGAAGTTATACCTTGACAGAGAGAAGTCATCAAGTAATAAGTAAAAGTAATAAAAAGTAAACAATTATTCTCAATAATTTTTTATAAAAATAGAATATTGTGTATGAAGTATGAATATTTTTCTTTTTCAAAATTAAGAATATATTTGTCTGCTTTCTTTAGCTGACCTGAAAACGGAAATTGATACTATCTGATTGCTCTTATTTGCTACTTTTGTTTTAGTTTAATTTTTACAATAATGTATTTAAGATTATATCTTTTCATTAAACATATATTGATGTGGTAATTTAACATTGTATTTGACAGCAATTTATCTAAAATTATGTTGATTGTTTTGTGAACATTTAATACCAAGTACTGCTTGGGTTTCAGAAAATATTTAGGATATTTTTACATATTTAAATAATTTTGCACATTATGCTGGGTATAAAGTAAACTGATGATTTCTTTTTTTACTTTAATTCGCTTTTGTTCAGGTAAAAAGAACATATTCCCATGGTACATACAGAGCTGGCGCGATGAGACAAATTAGCTTGGTTGGAGCAGTAGATGAGGAAGTTGGGGATTATTTTCCAGAGTTCCTTGATATGCTGGAAGACTCACCTTTGTTAAAAGTAAGATGGAAATTAGAATGTGTTCCAACTTTTATTTCAAATAAAATCAATAGTTCAGTAATTTATTTCTTAATCTAATGAGAGTGTCAAAATTAATAAATTATTTAAAACTAAGAAGATAAATATATATATATATTTGTTAACTTGTATGCTACATTCATATTTTAAGAGCTTATACTTTAATTTCTTAAAATTGCATCCGTTGCACATGTTCAAGTAAAACTGAAAGATTTAAACTTCCGAAGCTCATAATATGTAGGTAGTAGTTTGTCTCTTGCAGAAATTGGCACATTTGCAATGCTCACCATTTTGATTTCAAAATATTGGGAATGTACAAGTTTCTGTCTGGGTTTCAATCTCAGTTCAAATTGAATGTTTCAATGCTTTCCATTAATCAAATTGCCAATAATGTTATCAGTTGTAGATGGATACACAGTGCTTTTCCACTTTATAAAATAAATAAATAGTTGAAAATACTATCAGAAAATAACATAGATTTTAAACGCAAGTGTTTCATTTTAGTGTACTTTACCATGGGGGACTCTTTCTAGTCTGAAACTAGAAAGTCGGAAGGACAGTGATGATGGTCCCATCATGTGGGTACGTCCAGGAGAACAGATGATTCCTGTGGCAGATATGCCAAAGTCGCCTTTCAAAAGGAAAAGGTATGTTGTAATATCTGGTTGACTTTAATATTCAGTAATATTTAATATTCCATTCCAGGATTGGTGTAGCAGAAGGAGTGGCAGAATCTGGGAGGTAGAGTTAAAAGAGAGCTCAGTCTAGAATCCTATGTAGCCACAAGCAGACTAAGTCCAACCTCCCTTGAATTCCCTTGACTTTTATCTAACTCTAAACAGATACCTGCCATTAATTGAGAAGATTCTGGTGCATAAGTTATAGCAATACAACAGTTTAGTGGGACCTTCACATGTGGACCTGATCTTTCCTGTCTAACAATTGGCAATGCAGTGGTTGTGTATTGTCAGTGTGTAGAGGGCACACCCTAAAGAACTGGTTTCTCAGTTATCGCATATTTTGCTCTACACGGCAGCTAATGTCCAAAAAGAGATCCATTGTCAGAAAGCTAATTAAAGATTCTGTTACTGTTAATATTCCTGCTTGGTTTCCCTACCTCTTACTCTTAAATATGCTATTTCTTGCCAAAGAAATACATGTATTTAATAATTATTCCCTTTAAGGAAATAAGCAGGCCACATTTTCATGCAACATGTATGCCAAGTTTGATTTTATTTGGGTTCCCGCCCAATTATTTCAGAAATTCTTAAATAAAATAGATAAATTCATCAACCTAATACATATATTTATATCTCTATATCTATATCTATAAAAATAAATGGATGGGGTCCCTTTCCCCAAATAGTAAAAAAGAAACAAGAAAGAGATGGAAATACTGGATTTACAAATGGAATTGGATGATCATTTAAAAAAATAAAATAAAAAAATGAGTATACAAATAATATACCAAAAGTATGATGTGAAAATTTAGGGTAAATCTTTCTGTGATTTAATTTCATATGTAAAATACTCATTTTTGCAGAGTTTGATCCAGGGTATGCTCATATCCATGACTCCAGCCTTAGTGTTTTTATTTAGTCATTAGGCAGACCTATCTCAGCGTTGAGAACTCTGCCTCAGGGCTCATATTTTGACCGTGTGGTGGAGGTTCTTTTATGGAAAGGGATATTCAGTTATGGCTATGTTAATTAAAGAGTCAGGTATGGTCCAGTGATCAAGGTGTTGTGGTTTAGGGTAAGGAAAATCCCAGGGTCTCATCCACTTTTAGTTATAGGAGCACACTTGGTGCTCTTTGTACTAATTGCCCTTTCCCAGCCCCTCCTACCTCATGGAAGAATTGGAAGAGGGTGTGATATATATGTGTTGGGACCGGGTTATTTGTAGGACTGTCTCTCCCCACTTGTTATTTCCCCATTTTATGCTGTGAGTGAAATTAAACCTATGAAGCCAAAATCTTTAAAATGTGACTTACGCGTACCCTTTCTGTTATTTTGTTTAAACAGAACTACCAATGAAATAAAAAACCTGCAGTACCTACCTCGTACTAGCGAGCCTCGTGAAATGCTTTTTGAAGACAGGACGCGAGCACACGCAGATCACATAGGACAAGGGTTTGAACGGCAGACTACAGCTGCTGTCGGAGTGTTAAAGGCAGTGCATTGTGGAGAATGGTATGTAATTGCCGGTCAGTTCAGGAAAATATCTGCAGAATACTAGACGTATTTAGCAATGAGAAAATTGTCCAAAAGTGGGTTTTGATAGCATCTTTTTTGAAGGGGTGTCCCACAGAAAAAGATCAAGTCTTGTTTTCTGTCCTTCAACAGTGCAAGATATGGCACATGGATGTTATAGATAGAATATTTATAGCTCACAGTTGAATTGGGGGCTACTTGGTGTTCTCTGAGCTTGGTGGTTTCTTTGCAGACATTTCATTACCAAACTAGGTAACACCATCAGTACTAATAGGGAGTGGAATTTGCTCTTATTTTTATATCCTAGTTGCTTGCCCTGTCAGTACAAGAGCAAACCCCATTCCTGTCTAGCAATGATAAAGTTACTTAATTGGATAATGAAATGCCTGCAAGAAAACCACCAAAGTCAGAGTACCAAAGGCCCCACATAATGATTTTTAATTATGGATCAAAGCAATTTTGGATTAAGGAAACATCCTATTGATAAGAGCAGGTTGATAGTGGAACCAATTAAACCAAGAGATTCCAGAAATCTTTTTCACTGGATATCTTCAAACATACTAGTCTGGGAGGTTGGATTAAATATCCTTTTCTCAGTTTTTTTCTAGACATTTATCAGTAGACATACCATTTAGTAAGAATTTTCATATTAAACAGCATTCAGCAGCATTTTGTTGCCCTATTTATCAATGGGGGTAATCCACACACAGTTATCTAGAAAAATGAAAATTATATCTTGATTGGAGAACTGCTAATTGCCTGTCACTTAAAGAATAGAAGAATAGGATAATAATATTTAATTTTTTGGTTTGAAATTGGATTATGTAGTTAGCAGTAGTAAAGCCTCTAAGTTCTTGTGACTTTCCATTCTCCATGTAGTTTTCTTGGAAATAATACTTTGCTTCTGTCTGTTTCCCTAACTAGCCAACAGCAGTAAGAATAATCTGAAGGTTTCTCTTCCCTCAGCATAGCTTCCAACCTCAGGCAGTGCTAGCCAGATGCTGCCCTCTACTGAGTCAGCGGCTTGTCTGACCTGTGAATCCTTACTGTTTTACTCTCTTCTCATAGCTCAGTATAAAAGTAAAACATTTCTTGAATTTATTTCTGTGAGTCTGTTGCTGAACTGTTTGGTTCTCTCCTCACTAAGAAACAATTGAGGGATGGTCCTGTTCAGAAACTAAACCCTAATACAAGATGCAGAACTTTGGCATCGATTACTACACTGTATTCCTTATGTCTGTTAAATTTAAGTTTAAAGATATACCAAATGAGCACTACTTCCACAGTATACTCAATACATGGGACAATATTCAATAGGCCTACTTTACATTTTGTACAGTTACAAAAACAATACTGCTGTATGACATTTCATTTTTTAGTAATTGCATATCGGAATCAACTTTCTTTTAGTTACAGAATACAATAAGAAAGCAAAGCCAACAAACATATACGGAGACGTACCTACACAGAGGGAGCGGGGAGAGAGAGTATTAGAGAGGGGGTATTAGAGAGTTGGGAAGAGGAGAAAAAGTACTTTTCTTTTTCTGATTGGCTTGAAGAAAATCTCCAGTTTTAATAATTTTGGAAATACGATGTTCCTATATGTTTTCCTCTTGAAGAGCATGTACACATGGATAGTACCACTGGACATCAGGATGGGATGAGAAACCAATGATAGAAATCATGTTACTGAGGTGGATCTCTCAATGTCAGTAATTTTATTCTGGGATTTCACAAGATTTCTTCATTGTCATCTTGATTTCTTGATCCATGTAGTTTCTGCATTTCACTCTCTGAACTCTCCTTTCTCTTAGTCACTATGAAATAGAACTTAACAGCTTTTTGGATGGCTTTGCAGCATTCATGGCCTTCCAATCCTCCAAACTGCACTTATCAACATTGTAAGGCATTTTTTTTCCCTAATGAAGACATTTTATTTGCATTTTTTTTAAAGTTGTAAACTGATTATTTTCAAACATTGATGGAATTCATTAGAATAGCCATCCTTCAACTGTTTTACCAATTTCATTTTCCAGCATAGCTGTTGCCTTTTCTTGATTGCAAGAATAGTTCATTGGCAGGTTGATCAAATTAAATATTAAATTTTTCAGCTTCATTCTCAATGTTTTTGTCTGCTAGATGAAAGAACTTTCATTTGCTAAAGTGATGTTTTCAGCATCCTCTTCTAATCCTTCCTATTTTGGGCACAAAGAAGAAGAGCTATTTTTTAAAAAAAGATAATGTAAATTATACCAATCATACATCAGTGAATTGCAATATAGGATTGGCAAGTGGTCCGTGATGCCTTTCAGCATTACTGGTTGATGCAATTTGCATACTGCATTCAGCTGGGCACTCCATCTGTGATTGTGCAGCCCGATGCCAAGATCTTCTGCTGGCTGATTATCCCCCCCCCCTTTCTATTCATCTATCCTCAAATGTTTGAATGTTTTAGGAACGGTGCGCCAGAATAAACCAGACTCATCTGCATTGCAAATCCGACACAGTATGAGGCATTCATTCTGGGTGATGTTATGTAACCTATTCCTTAAAGCCTAACTTTCCTCCATTTGGACCAACATTTGCCATCTGTATGTTCACAGTTCTGAGATTAAACAAATCAACAAACATACAAATCTAGGTGTGCCTTTGCAGTTGTATTAGTTGCTAATTTTTAATTTTATTCCCCATAAATTAAGATCACCTGAACATAGTGCTCCACCACTGCTTCTTCGCTAAGTGGGGTTTCATGTCCGACTTTAAATGTTTTTTTTTACCCCAAGTGCAGTTTATGTACTGCTGTGATTTATATTACACTGAAGACATAATTCTGTACAGGTAGTCCTTGACTTACAACCACAATTAAGCCCAAAATTTATGTTGCTAAGCAAGACAGGCGTTAAATGAGTTTTGCCCCATATTATGACCTTTTTTGCCACAGTTGTTAAGTGAATCATCACTACAGTTGATAAGTTAGTAACCTGGTCATTAAGTGTATCTGGTTTCCCCCATTGACTTTGCTTTTCGGAAGGTCTCCAAAAGGGATCCCATGACCTCAGGACACTGCAACAGTCATAAATATGAACCCGTTGCCAGTAGTCTGAATTTTGATTGCATGACCATGGGGATGTGTAAGTGTGAAAAATGGTCATAAGTCACTTTTTTCAGTGCCTTTGTAACTTCAAACAAACACTAAACAAACTATTGCAAGTCGAGGACTAACCTGTACAGCTCTTTGTATTTTTAAAAAGAGTTTTGCTTAACTTGCTTATAAATATCTACATAGTAACAATGTTTAATAATCCTGAATGGCAACTTTGGTTATTTTCCCCTCCTCACGTGTAGGGTTGAACAACCTCGCATAACCAAAGACGTAATTTGTTTTCACGCGGACGATTTCTTAGAGGTAGTTCAACGGCTGCAGCTAGATTTGCACGAGCCTCCACTTTCCCAGGTAACTGTCTCGATGGCCAGATGGTGACATTTTTAAGAATGTTCTGAATCTTGGAAAAGGGAATTTATTTTCTCTCTTTTTCCTTCTAGTGCGTCCAGTGGGTGGATGACGCGAAACTAAACCAGTTGCGAAGGGAAGGCATCCGATACGCCAGGATTCAGTTGTATGATAACGATATTTATTTTATTCCACGGAATGTTATACACCAATTTAAGACGGTTTCAGCCGTATGCAGTTTGGCGTGGCACGTGCGGCTCAAGCTCTACCACTCGGAGGCGGAAAACCAAACTGCCTATGACACAGATTCCCCAGCCGATGGCGCGTCTCCTCTGACGGGACTTCAGACGGAGGGTGCCCCCCACCCCGTGGACGCCCACACCTCCGAAGGAACCAAATTCTTAAGTAGCCTTCAGACTCAATACGTGAAACAAGAGGTTTTGGCCCCCCCACACGAACCCAATTTATCTCTCCGGAATCCTGAGGAAACCCTTCCCACTGACCTTCCAGAAAAGACAGCGCCCGCCTCCAGCGCTGCAGAATGTGCGAAAGCGAGACTGGATCACGCTTACTTGACAGGGTGGAGACTTGAGACTGACCCGAACCCCGAGCCCGGCTGCAGATATTTACAGGATGTCGTGTGCCCCGGGGGCCATGTGAACCTGGATGACACGAGACAGAGGAGCTCAGCTTATCCAAGTCTGCCTGGCAAACCAGAAGATGATTTTTTGTGTTAAGTGTGTGCGTGCGCATGGGCGTGCGTATATGTTTTTAAAGTACTTTTAAAATATAACGACACAATGTAAGGGAGGCTTTACATTCTGTGAGGCAGGATGTCTGTTTTTTTTTTTTTCCTGACCTGCCCTTGCAGCTGTTGCAGCATAAAATAGTACATGTAGCTTTGTAACATTCCTCAGTGCCTGTCCGTAACTGTAAACTGTTTGAAAGCACTTAGGGCCAGATGCACTGTAAACACTGCAGGTATAACATTAAAAAAAAGTCTTTAAATATGAGTTGTAGGTTTTAGAATAGAGCTGACATTTAACATATATATTTTTTGTAAGATAAAGCCAGAATTCTTTTTGACAATTCCAGGCTTTTCCATAGAGCTTATTTATACCATTTTTTTTCCTTTTTAATGTGTCAGCACTGTAGTGTAAATAGCTTTTTTTAAAAACAAACAAAACGAAAACAAAAAAAAAACTTTTTAGTGTGATTTATATTAAAATGTGAGCCGCTTAATAAAGGTTCATAATAATTATTTTTATTTTGAAAAAAATCTCAGTCCTGGTAAAATTAAAAAAAAGGAAAATATTCTTATATTAAAAATGCATAGATGTATTAAGTAAGATAGAATTTGTTGTTGAATTTCACAAAATCTTATCTGGAGAAGAATATCCTTTTGGTTGGATGCTAGATGGTATGTCAGAACGAAAGCGTAACTTTCTTCCTTTTTTCCTATCGTACGAATGTTAGACTTCAGCAAGGATTGAACATTTGAGTACTCTTGACAGACATATCACTAAAGTGGAGTCCTAATGAGTGGCAAATCATAAATAAATACAAAAAAGAGGGTTACAAAAAAGAATAGTAGTACACTTTGCCAGTTATTTGAACAAAATATATAAGTAGATCACCTACTTAATATCTCCCCCCCACACCCCCTGTCCTTTGGCTGGGCACTTAATTCTGTAACAAGCAGATGACTAAAGACAGTTTTACAATAAATGTAAGAAAGGGGGTGGGGAGCATTTCATTTCCAACCAAGAATATAGCGCCGGATCAATGTGAATTTTCCTCATGCGTCTGGCTAAATAAAGTTAGGAACATGTTTAGTTTAATTCCTTCTGAGCCAGAACGTAAAAGTTTTCCTTTATGTAACAGAACACAACAACAGTTCTCTCTTTCTGACCTCTTTTATGGCACAAACTATGACTTCTGTTATTCCCAGTGGGGAGTATAATATGAAAAATGTCCAGTAAAATATCCACTCATCTCATCGATCATTTTGAGCCTTCAGCTTTGCCATACAGGCAATGACTATCTTCGCAGCAGCCCTGGCCCCCACAATTCAGTTGAATACACAGTAAACCCTCTCCTTGTCATATTACTTGAGTTTCTTAGTTCGCGTTGCTGTAATTGTGATAATTTTAGAGATCAGCAAATCATTAGACTTCCTTTGTGGGTGGGATTGTTTTACAGTGAGGTTTAATACAGTTTTACAGTGAGGTTTAATAGGTGAGCCTGCATCCAATTGGTCAGGAAAGCTGGTACCAGAAAAAAGGGCTTGAGAGTCAACTAGCCTTCAATGGGACCGGGTCGTCTCTTAATTTAAGATAGATCTGCAGTAGGGAATATATACTGCCCTGTCTCCATACAAAAGACACAATGAAAATACCTGGTTGGCGTGTTTTGCTATACTGAGTATACATGGAACTGCCTGGTGTAAGTTTGGAGGCATACATTGCAATTGTAGAACCATCAACATTTAAAGCAAAGGCAGATATGCAGAGAGGTTGGATACAAAGAAGGAGAATAATTCACCTGTGGCAACCAAACTTTGGGTAGAATGTTTGATTCTTGACCTCTTCCACTTTAAATTCTATGGGTATTTCGAAGCTGTTGAAAAAGAAAAGCACAGCAAGAAAAAAAAATGCCCTTGGACCTTTAAAACATTAAAACCAGATAATAATAATTGCTGTGAAATTATAAGCACTCGGGAGGATTTCTAGAAGGCTCTTGGTATGAATATGAGTCAACATGGTTTTCTATATGAAGGGATGGTCATAGCCCTTTCAGATTGCTGATGTCAGCAAATGCTACTATTTTCGTGTTTTTTTTTCTCTTTCTTTTTTTTTGGTACACAGTTTGATAAACATGTCTTAACAATGTCAGGCAGTTTCTGTTAAGAGGCTGCTTTTGTGTTTCCCCCTTTGAGGTTTATGTGGTGTGCTGAAAAGGTTACGAAGTGCCGGAACCTTTTGTTTAAACCAATGGTTCACCTGAAACTAAGCTGTCATTGGATATTGTCATTTCTATCTTTTGTATGGCTATTATATCCGGCATGTAAAAACCCAGATGGCCCCTAGAAGGCAGCAACGAGGAAGAGTTTCCAATTCTCTCTGCTGGCATTTAGTGCTTATCTCCCACCTTTGCATCCCAAATATATTAGCCTTAATCTTTCTTTTTGTTTTTTTCCTCCAGAAATATATCCTTCCTAGTCTCCTTCCACTTACCTGCTTTGATTGATGCAACAACACATAAATGCTACTTTAAAAAAAAAAAAGTGCTCTGAGCTTCTTCATACTCTCCACCTCACTCTACAATTTAAGAAGAAACTATTTGTATAATTTAATCTTCCCCAACTAGGATCTGAATTGTTGGGGTTAGGTTAGTTATGACACCCTGCCCTCCCTCTATTTTTTTTTAACATGCAAGTAGTCCTCCAACCTACAACCACAGTTGAGTCCAAAATTTCTGTTGCTAAGCGAAATGCTAAGTGACTTCTGCCCCATTTTACAACCGTCCCACAGTTGTTATGACGCTGCAACCGTCATAAATACAAGTCAATTGGCAAGTGCCTGGATTTTGATCACGTGACAATGGGAAGGCTGCAATAGTCGTAAGTGTGAAAAAATGGTCATGTCACTTTTTTTCAGTGCCAAATGGTCAGTAAATGAACTGCTGCAAGTCAGGGATTACCCGTATTATGTAATAGGCCAAGAAGAGCTTCAGCAATTAGCAATTGGGTTGGAGAGATTTATGTTTAAACATTATTTCCCCCCTGATTTTGGAATTTGAATAACAACTATATATAACATTCCCTGTTCAGTGAAATACAGAAAAATATGGCTTAGTGTTTCTGAAAAAATGTAGGATTTGCCACATTTTGGTCCCCGGACCTATTGTTTTGCTGGAATATAATGGACTACAAAATTTGTTTTGAAGTGAAAAATGTTTGTACTGTGCATCCTAGACAACAATAGAGCATTCCAAAACTTTTAAAATCATGGATTATGCTTAAAACTTGGTTTAATCATAGCATGCAAATCACATTTGCTTCATTGAGAGGGTGATGAATGCTATTGGCACTTCCTGATGAAAGAGTCCCATAACTTATTATTTATACTGAACCAGTCAAGCAAAATTGTAATTCTTCTGAAGGGTTGGGAAAGCGTCTCTGGGTTATATCTAGACACTTACTACCAAACCGAATGGCTCTGGTCCAAAAGCCAGTTCCTTACTACCTGGTTAGTCAACTAAGCAATGGGAAAGAAAGAAAGAAGTCATAAAACATAAAAATCTACCTTCCAGATTTCTATCAATATAAACTTGCAGAAGCTAGAACAAGCAGGAATCAGACTGCGGCTGCAATATTCTTCCTGTTAACAGTTGCCTGTGCTCCCTTCCAAAAATTCTTCTAAACATCCCATTAAAAAAAGGCCATGTTGCTTTGCTCTCTGTAGAAAAGTAAAACCCTGCTGAGTTGCTACATTTTTCCTTCGTGGAATACTATTGGTGTACCTTTATCAAGAACAAACAACTCTGTTTAAAAAAAATAAGTGAAATAGCACATAAACTCATTGTCCGATGTCACTGAATATTTTATTGTATGTAAAGCTAGGCTGAAGTGTGCTAAGCTGATTTGGCTTAAGCATGGTTTAAATACGCCACAATGGTGGGATTTGCATTTTGCTAATATGTACAGAAACAAACCAGGTTAATATGATGTCTGAATGCCGGGTGTGAATGGAAGAGTTAAGTTAACAACGAGGAAGCAATGTATTTTCAGAATATCTTATCACATAAGGCACTTTAATGTCAATTGCTCTTTTTTTAATTCATTTAAAAAGGGGAAGATTAGAGAAAATCTTTTTTTTTACACAAAACTAATCACATGTCGGATTGTGTGTGTGTGTGTGTGTGTGTGTGTGTTTTAAACACATGTATATAATACAAATATACGCATATATACATACACATGTAGATTTTTTTTGTGTGTGTGTACACAAAATTTTAATGTATTTAATGAGTTACATTGAACAATACAGAGGTTTCTCGGTGGAATGGGGCATTTCCACATAAACTAGCAGAGGCATCTTGCACAGAGAGACCTCACTTGTCCAAACTGCCTCCATCACCATTTTTATTTTTATTTTTTATTTTTTTGAAGTATAACACAAAGTGGTTTCCACTAACTGAAGGCACCTCTTAGTTTTCCCTGGTAGCCTGCATCCTTTGATCAGCTGGCCTCTGTCGCATTGAATTATGGTTTATTTAATAAACTGCAATTGGTTAGACTAAGATATAAATCCCAATGATGTATTAATATGTATCAAGAGTATGCACTATGGGCCTCATTAGGCTTCAAAACTGATTTAAAATCTAGCATGAGCAAAGCACATCTCGGCTGCTAATTAAAGCAGCCTTTCCTTGGGCTGCTGTGGGAGCCTGGAAGCTGTGCCTGCGCATGTGAATCAACTCATTAAAATGACCTTCAAAAGCAAGCACGTGGCTTAACGGTGGGGCCTGACAAAAATTGTGGCTGCCTTAATGAGGCTCAGGGAAGTCTTACGCTCATGTGAGGTGTAAAGCACTGCCATGTCATTTTTAAAGCATCCGCAGCCCTCATTTTAACGTTAAGGCTCAAAACAAAAACCACGGGATGGCTTAATCCTGTCACCCACATGTGATGTGTAGCACGACGTAAACTTAGCATTTTTTTTCCTCCAGAAAACGAGCCAATAGCCATCCTTCTGGAACATTCCCAACCTATGGTCCAGAAGATACTGATCTAGGCATGAAAATATTTGCAGGTTCATTAGGTAAAGACTTGTGACAGTATCTTCAGGCGAGCTCACTGCTCAGGAGTTCCTCCCATATAATTTCGAGGTGCTGAGTTGAAGGCCATTCTCAGCTTGGTTACTACTGTATAAGTAGCCTTGTACCTGGACAGGCCTTCCTTGCCATCTCCAGTTTGAAGAACCCAGTCATCTCCAGAATGAGTAAGGGATAAATTAGGATGACCTGTGGGCCATCCTGGAAAACAAGTCCTGCGGTCAGGGTGATGTCGATGTCTATTGCCATTGTTCTGCTATCTTGAAAGAGGAAAAAGCGCTAGATCCATTAGTTGATGGTCTTCAACGGGTCCGCTTGGAAGAGGTGGCCGTTTCTCTTGAGTTTGCTGGCATTTGTGGGGGGTGTTTTAAGGTCCATCCTCCAGTTGTCTAGGGAGATTCTCAAGTCATTCAGGTCATGGTTTGTCCCAAAGGTGCTTCCTTCTCCCACCCACCCCACCCCCAAAAGGCAACTAGACTTTCTGGTTTTTCTTGGAAGACGTTTCGCTTCTCACCCAAGAAGCTTCTTCAGCTCTTCATTCTCTGCGAGTTGAAATGCTTTCATATTTGCTGCCACTGTTAATATCTTTCTGCTATGAACTCATGGGGCTCTATAATGAAGCTATTATGAAGCTGTCTAAGGGAAGTGTCGTACTGGGACTATGATTCTGAATGATGGTTTCCCAACTCTCCAAGCTGACAATTATAGTATTCTGCTTATCTTTGATCAGATCCCCAAGCAGTAGGTTTTTTGTTTTTTTTATGGTAGATCTATCAATGTCGGCTGTCTTTGTTGTGATTGATTGGGCCAGATCCTGGAGTAGTTTTAGCTGAATACATTTTCTGTCATTGTGAATGCTAAGAAGAAATCGGGTGTAAAGTCTGCAGGGCTTGGTTTATGATTGTGATCACAGTCTGGGTACAGGCCAACTTTATATAGGTTTGATACGCTGATTTCAAATTTCTTGATCCCTTCCTCTGTAATCTGTTTGTCTGTTGTGATTGATATCTGGGAAAAGATTCTTTTAGTCATGACCTCCAGATGCAACCTGTCCCTGGTCTCTTGGCCTCATTCATTATGAATCCTTGCCTTTCTAGAACAGGGGTCGCCAACCTTTTGGACCTCAGGGACCACCAAACTCATAGTTCGAAATCCCACGGACCACTAATATGAATTTTGACTGAAGGTGGCTTGCTGATGTTGGTGGGAAAGTCGATCCTATATTCCAGAGCTTGCAGGAGTCACAGGACTGGCCCTTTGGTCATCCCAGAGCAGCTGCTCCTCCACCTGGGTGCACCGGCCTGCCATGGACTGGAGGAGCAGCTTCTCCAGGGTGACCGAAGGGCCAGGCCTGTGACTCCTGCAGCTCTGGAATATCGGACTGACTTTCCCACCAACACCAGCAAACCACGCCGGGGCAGATTCCCCCCCCCCCTGCCATTGGTCTTACCTTCCAGTTCCTGGTTTGCACTCGGCTGAAGGGTGGGGGCCAGCGGGTGGGAGGGCCATGTGGGTGGCGCAGCCTTGTGTTCCCGCGGAGTTTGGATTAATTCCTTTGGGGGGCATTTCTCTGGACCACCAAAATTTTCTCGCAGACCACCAGTGGTCCATGGCCCACTGGTTGGCGACCACTGTTCAGGATGGCGGCTTTGCCCATCAATGTCTCCCTAGTCAAAAGGTTTTTGGAATCTATGTTTACTGTGCCTATGGCCCTTGTCTGAGAAATGATCTGCTACTGCAGTTGGGTAAAAACAGTTGAAAGCTGCCAGACCTGAAAGGGAACTGCTTATCAGGAGGGAATTTCAGATCTACTAGTTTGAGAGGAATTTAGAAATAAGCCTTCATTAAATTTACTGATGTCAACAGATTGGTTTCGTTGGATGGCTCTTTTAGCCATCCTAATAAGAGTCAGGATCTCGTCCCCGAATCTTAAATTGCTTCACAAATTTGTTTTTTGGGCCCGAGGTTTTGCATCCATGCCTGTCTTGGATGAACTGAAGACTTTCCTGTGCTTGTTCTCCATACTGATGTTTAACAAACAGCCTGTAGCTTAGATGGTTATTTAATGCTATCCCCTCATCCTTGTATGCTGTGATAATAGTAAGGTGTCTGGCTGGCTACTTTGGAATCCTAGTTAAACTGTGTTGGCAGTCTCCTAACATGTTTTCACTCAGAATGGGTTGGGATGCAGGTGTTGTGGCCCACCAGCGGCCAGCAGAG